CGGGTCAGGTCAACTTGGGGTGTTGACCTCAGGTCAAGGTCAGGTCAGCACCCCCAGGTCACGAAGTTGGTCAAAAGAGGTCATGTCGCATATCATTCGATTCGGCAGGTCTTCCTGAGTCCATTGGTGGCTTCCCTGACTCGCTAGCTCAATTTGATCAAGAGTTATTGACGAAAAACTAATATGACCTTGATGACGTCATAAATGACGTCACGCAAGGTCAACATTGCAAAAGTGACGCATCTAACCTTGCAAGGAGTGCATCAAATCACGATTCTGTGTGCTTGAGATAGTTGGAGATCGTTCCCGGCGCCAGAATAGCAGTTTTCATTTTTCCCCATTGACTTATAATGGTGAGGTCACGAAAATGAGCTGACCTCATATGACCTTAAGGAAAAATCCGAGATATACAAGTTGTGAGACTCATAATGGATACTAGATCCTGCAAGTTTCATTCCCCTGTGACATCTCTTCTGGCAGTGAGGGCGTTGCGAAGTTGCGACATCTGAAGACCGTGTAGAGGTTCACTTATGACGTCATAGGTCAGTGACCTGACCTGACCCAAAAATGCGGTTGGTGTCAAAAGATCCGGCTTGGATCAAAGGTCAGGTATGCCAAGTTTCAGCTCTCTATCGCCAGCGTGTTCGGAGCTATCGCGGAAAAACCCTATGGGGGGGGCGGCACCCGCCCCCCCCCCCCTCGGCCGGCGAGGGTTAAGCACGAAGGGTAAATTGACGTCCTACGATTCCTCGTATTCACGCCTGCAGTATTAATAACAGTTTCATCGATGAAAAATAGTTGAAATGTCAATAGAAAACACATTTTTTTATGTTGTTCAATAGAATTAGAAGAAACATAAACTTTGTGTACGTGAACCGAACCAGACTGGAAGCGCGGATCATACCCACACAAAAAAAAATCGTGGAAGGAAGTCAGTTGATCAAATATGTAGTTTTTGTATGACAGCAGATGAATTAAAACTCGCCGGGCACGGATCCATTGGCTTCCTATAAATTCTACACACCGAGTGGGACGACCCCCTCGCCGTTTCGCCTCTTATTAAGATACTGCCTTGCAAAAAAAAAAAACGAACGTGGTGTCGTTACAAGACGCAGCGACGTACCCGATTCCCGCGCCCCACTGAGGGGGGGGGGGGGGGCTATTCAAAGCCCCTTCTCGTTTTTCTGCAATAGCTTCTCAATCGCCAGACGTATCAACACGAAATTTTCAGCACCTTCGGCTACATCAATTTGACACCTTCTGTTAGCTATGAACTTCGCAGCTGCCATAGGTCTGCCGGAAATGACGTCAGAGTGACGTCATGTTCGGCCGATTTCGACGCAAAACATTGAACTACGGCAATCGGTCTCAAAAGCGATACGAAGTTTTCAATACATAGTTAGTCTCTGTGGGGTAAAAAAAAAAAAACATTTGTTTAACCCGCGCACCGACGGGGGTCTGCGCCAACTTAGTACCGACGGGGGGGGGGGGCGGATGACCGCCCCCCCCCCCCTGAGATCTCGAGAACGAAGCAAGATAGCGACAAGCGGTAAACGGCATCGGATACGCACGGACAAGGTCTACAATTTTTACTGAGGTCATTTTCAGGTCAGGTCAAAGATGACGTCACAGGGGTCGAAAAAGTCAAAATGGCGGCGCTAGATATGGAGAGGGTTTTTCTCGAATAACTTTCGAAGTAGTCAAGATAGGAACAAACTAAGGGCATCACCGTGATCCTCTCGTCAATCCGCATCGAATGATATATATGTTGACCTCGAAAGGTCAAGGTCAAAGGTTGACCTCAGGTCACGTGACCTCGAGGTCATCATGTATATCATTCGATGCGTCTTGACGAGCTGAACACAATGAGACCATCTGCGCGGCTGTATCTTGTTCCTGTAAGGAGTTATTGGCAAAAAACCTTTGGTGACCTTTGATGACGTCACATGACCTTACAGCTGCCCAACAGCAAAACAGACCTCAAGGTAGTGAAGGTTGATCGTATGTGAAGTCATGTATGGTATATGGGGCCATTCCGACCCGTTTTAGTGGTAAAAACAGGGAGTTGATTTTTCCCCCATTGACTTATAAAGGGGAGGTCGCGAAATTGACCTGACCTTAGGTCACCGACATCAAAATTCCGAGATATACAAATTGTAGCTACTAATGACCTAATAACATCCTGCGACTTTCAAAGGCCTCCGACATCTACTGTAGCTCTGGCACGGTGACAAAGTTGCAAAAAAGTGACTTGAGGTTGGGTCATTCAAAGTGACCTGGTGACCTGACCTTAAAAGTTAGGAGGTTCAAACTTGCACACCATGTGTAAAATTGATGAGAGAATAGTCATACCAAATTTCGCGGCGCTACGCGCCGCGGTTTTCCCGCTATCCGCGAAAAACCTCAGGGGGGGGGGCGGATATCCGCCCCCTCGTCGGTGCGCGGGTTAAGCATAATAATATTGAACCAGTAAATGTGAAATCTCATTATCACAAATACAACATTTTTACCATATTCTGAACAATGATTTTATCTTTATATTTATTTATCATCTTGAATTATAAAGCGTTCAATGTCACCATGAACGAGGAAGCCATATTTCCCGCCTATACAAACAGCCGTTCACGCATCATCACCTCAGCCACGAGTAGAGCGAGCTCTCCTATTTGATGCCTAATGATGCGAACGAGTTAAACGGACTACAAATAGTTCGCGGCCGAAGTGCTCCGATATTTCGCGTACTTGTCCCGCTACTGGCCATTGAAAATCTGCTTTGAACTTCAGTTTTGATAAGCTGCCGAACTTCTGCTGTGATGCTAGATGACATGAACACTATACTTTGTTTCTCAAGACATTGTGTTTAGGGCAGTGCCGATCGAGTATATACTTGTGTTTATAGTGTATAACAACATGCAGGTTAATGATTAATCGCACTTTTATATACTGCATGCTTACATTCTGTTCGTCATATGAACATTCGGTCCCGTAGCTCAGTCGGTAGAGCGTTGGACTCCGCGTGGCGAGAGCACGCGCCCCGGTTACAATAGTTCGGGTTCGAAGCACTCGCTTAGCGGTGGCTCTGCGCTGTAAATCCTTCCATTTAAAAGGTTCGGACCAAATTTATAAATCATACATCAAATTAAATTTGGATTTTAAAATGATTCGAAGCTAGCAAAGTTGAAATTAGAGGTGAAAAAAACCATCAAAATCGATTGGCAAGCGGGCATTGAATGGAAGGAACAGATAAAGCTTGTGTGACCTTACACGCTCAGCTTTGAATGTACCCAACGCGCTTGAATGCATTCAGACGGATGCAGTGTACCTATGTTATGTGAATCCACGTTCAGTAAACGGAGGGACGGGAGATGGTGACTGTCGTAATAAAATAACTATTCAAAACTCCGTTTAGTCCTAAACTGGTTCAAATAACGGATTTCGCACCTCATTTTCAGCGAAATTGTCCGCTCCCCGCGCGGTGCGCAAGCAATAAACGCACGCTTTTGCGTCCGCCCTGCCGGTGATGCCAAATGAAAGCCATTGCGCACGGGCAGTTAATTTGGATAGGATCGGATAGGATTACTACTGCAAGCGCCTTCTTCGCGCCAGGTGCGGCGCTCGCTGGGTCGTCAAGGAGCCGTGATGTGTGAGGTTTGCAAACCATGGTAAATAACCCCAAGCCGATGGGTGTTTGAAATGGCTGTGCAATCTTAATTAACCTAGCTGCGTGGCAAAGTACGCAGCACCCTGCTTTCGGAAGGTAGCTCTAAGCTTCTCTTCTGTTAAAAGTTGGAAGAGAACGCGGGCACTAAGATTTCAAAGCAATTACGTATGATGTGTGTCTTCTCCCTTGGATAGTAATCAAACGAAACAACATCATCACTTCGATCAATTTTGAGGCTCAATGATAGACTACATCAATATTGAACCTTTTTTTCAAATTTAGAATCTAGGTAGTAGGTACGTACGTACCTATACCTATGTACAACCAAGGTACCTACATTTCATTTTACAAAGATAGACTTAACTAACCATGGCTACCACCGTTTGCTAGTTAGCCTTGTTCTCTAAATCCTCGACAGGTGTTGGGCGTCAGGTTTGTCAGATCATCCCTGACACCGCTGAGATGTTCAGTGGAACAGCGGCTGTGGTTTCCCACTGCCGGCCTATCGGGAGCCGCGCGGGGAGGCCGTTCGTAGCCGCTGTGTGTGTGTGTGTGGGGGGGGGGGGGGGTGACGTGCGTACCGCGACCGCCGTCCGTCAGCCGTGACGTTATGTAGCGTCACCACCTGCCCGCTCCCACGGCCGACTCGTCACAAAGGCAGCTGGACCCCCTCGCGCCCCCCTGCTGACACGGGCAGCTCATGCGGTGCTGTCGTGTGCGCCGGCCCGGTCTAAGAAACGCGACAGTTGGACAGATACAGACGACTGTCGGACTGGCAATGGGCGTCCCACCCGCAGATGGATTCCGTTTGCGCTTTGCTAAACCTGGTTTCGCTGCCACCTGGCTTATTTTTTTTTCGGCCACCTTCCGACACAAGTACGGAGAGAAAACTTTTCATTCTCTCTTCATTCTCTTCATTCTCTTTCATTCTCTTTTCATTTATCAGATGGATTCCGTTTGCGCTTTGCTAAACCTGGTTTCGCTGCCACCTGGTTTATTTTTTTCGGCCACCTTCCGACACAAGTACGGAGAGAAAACTTTTCATTCTCTCCCGCGTCTGACCTCTGTACTCTGTAGTTACATGGCTTTGCTTCGAATGAATGGGTGTGTACATACTCTACTCAGTCTAGAAAGTTGGGTAGGTATGCGATGCATATTGTTCCAGTCTTCCATAAATAAGCGGACATGTCTTTTAATTCCGATCAGTGCGTCAAATCTCACCTTTTTTGCACTCATGGTGTGAATTGTAGTCTTTAGGTCTGCAGATATGTGCTGAGGCCAGCTTTTGGAAATTTAATATACGTCACGTATTTTGCTCATCCACACGAGCAAAGACATATTTTGATCTTTTAGAAGTGTATTCGGCATAGTTTTGTAAGCCAAGGAGTCAAATATAGGGTTAACATATCAACAGAATGCATCGGCTTCTAAATCCTGAGTTTCCAAGCGAAACGCTGTCAAGTTCACACTGAACTTTAGCCCTTCAAGCTACCTTGAAACTGCGTCTAGACGACGGGGTAGGAGGCGGAGGTGGCAATGCCGCACTGGTTGCCGGAGTTCCTGGTCATCTTGATGTAGCCGTCCATGCCCCAGCTGGCGCCCCACGAGTTCTTGACGAGCCAGTAGTCCTGGCCGTTCTCAGTGCCGTAGCCGACGGCCAGCACACCGTGGTCCAGGCGGCTGCTGGAGCAGCGAGCCTCGTTGTACACACCGCCGGAGTACAGCTGGAAGGAGAAGTGGGAAGCGTCGATGGCGACAGCCACGGGGCCGACGTTGGCGACGGCGTCCTGCAGAGCGCTCTCGCTGCCGGAGCGGACGTCGACGTAGCTGCGGAGGGTGGCGACGTTGTTTCCGTTGGCCTTGCAGTATCCGTCGCGGGCGGTGTAGGGGTAGGCAGCCTCGGCCTCGATGCCACCATTGTCACGGATGTACCTGAAAACGTCAGACGTAGTAATGAAAGCAATGCATTTTACGAGAAGGATAACACTATTGTTAATATTATTTCATTGAGATCTTTAGCCACATCTCTTTCAGCGGTGCGGCTAGTGTGGCGACTTACTGGAAGGCCGAGTCCATCCAGCCGCCGTTGCAGCCGGCGTTGCCGTAGGCGGTGGAGCAGTCGACCAGCTGCTGCTCGCTGAGCGAGACCAGCGAGTTGCCGGCCAGGGCCCAGGCACCCTCCAGCGAGCCGGTGGCAGAGAACGACCAGCACGAGCCGCACTGGCCCTGGTCCTTGACGCCGGTCACCACACCAGAGCCGCGCCAGTCCACCTCAGCCGCGTTCACCTTGCCAGACACCTGAGGGAACAAGTGCCGTCAATGATATTGCTTACCAAAAGACGCCAACCAAAGTGCTAGGTATCATAGGGAATAGCTGAAAATTCCAGTAATTGTTTTGCTGTAATATGTAATATGTAATACTTACCTTGTGGGTCTCGTGGGGCACGGTGCTGCCGATCTTCAGTCCCTTGAAGCCGCGGGCAAACTCTTCCGAGGTCAGGTCAGCGAACTTGTTGAGGGCCAGGGTGAAGGTGTGCTTTCCCTCGGCGTACTCCTTCATGTGCTGCGCAACCTTGACCTTGTTGTCGGCGTACACCTGACGAACAAGACGATCGGATCAGCTACTACCCTGGACTATGAATATTCAATATACAATCACCTCACGCTGGAAAGTGTTTTATGACAACTACTGCCACGAATCGGATGTTTTGTCTGCTTCCAGTCATTCATTTCATGTAAGCCTATACCTTCATCCTGTAGAACTCCTCGATGGGGTTAGCGTAGGACTTGCCATGCTTCAGCTTGAAGGCCTCCCACTCGGGCCTCTCCACGAAGGCGGAGGCCGCTCCGGCCAGAAGCACAACCAGCAGGACCTTCATGACTGTTCGGGTAGACGAGCAAATGGAATAGTAAGTGCCCCTGACATTCGGATTATCTAACGAGGCAAAGCTGTAAGTACCTGCTGTTAAAGGGACTATCCCACCTTCCAAAATGTTGTTAAAACCAGTTAAATTGTGCCCGACTTTATACAGGGTGTCCCATAAGTTCGTTCTCACCTAAATTTTACGCTTTTAGGCTCTCTTGCTTAAAGGCACGCTGAAATTGGTTCGTTACTGAGCTTACGTGGTTGCCATGGCTGGTAGAAATATGCTCCACAGTAACTAATTTCTGTAGACAAAATAGTTTTTGCTAGAGAGCCCGTCTCCTACACAGACGGCTAACGCCGCAACATAGAGGTCTCCAATACGGGTACGTCTCGGTATTTAGTCAGCACGTGACCATTCGCGACGATTGAGGGTGATTGAGGCCTACCAGTCTGTAGACAATGTCCATCGCTAACTGGACGCATAGTCAGCAACTGACACCGATGATTTGTCGGGAGTCAATCATTGCAAGTTTATCCCCTTTTTTGTCAGCTCTCAGGAGTGAGCCGTGTAGCCAAAACTGTGTGGCGCCAAAGTGGCCATCAAAAAGGTCAAAGGGTTAGAAAGTTGGTAAGCAGACTTTTCAGGATGGATTACCAGCTGTCTAAGAGTGTTCTTTCGGGGTACATAACTCAAGGTGACTTAAGCTTTGCTTACCGGAGGGCTCAAAACAGTCAAAAACGTCTTAAAATGGCCAAACATGAGTTTCGTTATGCCTGACGCTAAAAAAACTAAAGGGCTGAGGACATCAACCAGGTCATCTGGACTAACTAGTCCACGTTCGAGATGAAACACCCGTCCAAACCCGAAAACAGCCCCATAAGGGCAAAGGAGGAGGCCTCTGTTTCGTCCCGTTATGTTCCTATGCGAAAAGCCAAGGTCACGGTATTGTGGGGTTATAGGCGTCCAGACGCTGACCAGGTTGCGATTGGTGTCCCAGAAACAGCTTTGGGAAGCATAATGCTTTTCCAAGAACATCTAGGAGGAGTTTCAGCCCTCAAGCTGAACTCGAACCGCAAGTATGAACACATTTATAGAGGAGAAAATGGCATCCGAGAGGTCGTAGGCCCATCTTCAGGCAAGACAGTGCATCAGTGCACAGGTCAAGCAAAGCTCAAAAGCGGTGCAAAAAGACTGTGACAGGCGTTTGTGGCAAGACCACATGCCAGGCACCTCATCGGATCAAAATTTCATAAATATTTGTTGCTTATGCTGAAAATTAGGCTCGTCGAAGCGTAGCGCTGTTCAAGTCTCGAGGAGCTCACGGCGCATGTCAAGTCAGTCTGGGTTAACTTTAAGCCTGCTATGCAGCCAAACATGCCGGTTGGCATGCCGCAGCATGTGTTCATGTGTTTGCTTATTAAATGGGGAGCACATTGAGGGGTCACAAATATATCAAAACGCAATGTACTCTGTTTCACATGCAAATATAATGTGAGAACGAACTTATGGGACACCCTGTAGATTGGATGACCAGGAACACGGTTCTAGCATTTATTTTTCATTAAACATCTTAGGCTTCCCATATTTCAAACACAAACTTTCAAATATGTGACGTCACAGCCCAAAATTACCTCCTTCCCCAGGCCACATTACTGTCATAAAGCTGATTCTTTTTACTCTGTAGGCACCACAACAAAGTTCAGACCAAGTTTTAAGCGATTTTTCAACGAACAAACCCATTTAAATCAGAATGACTAAACGAGGTGACGTCACACTAACGGTCGCTCCATGTTGAAGATAGGGCCTTGTACAAGGCCCATTTTCAAATGAAGGGAACGAATTTCTTCAACACCAAGAGGCCGCGGGGGTTGTAACCTAGATAGATAGTGGTTTCTGAACCTCGCCGCAAACTTGGCTATCTCAACTCAAATCCCATGTTAAAGGTGGGATAGTCCCTTTAAATGAGTGCCTTTATCGTCTAGTGTCATGGTAAACAGCAAAGCAGCATGATTTCTAATTTCTAAAATGTGCTACGATACACTATACAGCCTACAATTTTTCCTAGCCAGTCAGCAAAAGCTTCTTGGAATCCTTCTTGGAATTCCAAGATCCTTCTTGGAATCCTTCTCTTGATCTTGTGAGCCCGGCAAATTGTTTTTGTGAAGTGCGTTAATGAACAAACCAGTATCTGCGGGCCTACTAGAGGCGCCTCCATTCCTAATGCGTAATGTAAATCAAACCAAAAGTCGATCGACGCCTGTGACGCAGCGCGGCTCAGTGCTCACCTGTACGTATTTCCGCAGTCGTGTAGCATCGCCTCTGGGTCGCTCCTATTTATATGGAGAGGCTATCAGCCGTGACCCTGCTGTGTTTGTCACTGATGTTCTTGGTCCCACGGGGTCGGCAAATATTGACTGCCATTTTGATAAGCCGCGTTTGAACTTTGAAGGCTAGTTATGTAAGTTATTCTTCAAATTTGGACACACAAAAATGTCGATTAAATTTTTAACTTCCTTTGGTAGCTTGTTTAGGTAAATGCATTTGTGGACATTGTAACACACAATTTGTTCCCTAGATGACTCGGACGTTGAGTACGAGTATGAACAACGAGTTATTTAAAAGCGTTAAGCTAAGGGGTTTTCACAATATAATATCTACTTCATGCCGTTGTTTTGGTTGCTAATGATCAGGCATCCAGTTATCAGCTTCCGAATTTCCTAGACGATTTGGGTCGTTTGGTTAATTTGGTTGCTTTTGAGGGTTTAACATCTGATGTTTCAGAGCAATGGCATTTTCTTGAAGAAGAATTATTCCAATATGAAATTTCTGTGCCAGTTCCATATCTAAATAATAAAACATTGAAATACTAAAGCTCAGATGTAGCCAATGAGCCTGTATAATTCTTCCGTAGGTTAGCCCTCGCCCGCACATGGGGGGTTGCCACTCCCAGGTAGGTTTTCTGTTCTGCACTCAACATTTAAACCTAGAAACCTGATTTTTCGTAGAGCTGCTGCTCTATCCATTCTCAATGCCCACTAAAAATGTCAAGTTTCTGTGGTTTTTAGTTTCAGAAATATGACCTTGTTTTTCAGGTCATGTCATGACCAAAATGACAAATACTAAACATCTTGCGTCGGTATGTTTGCTAGTCTTACCTCCCACCTATCATGGAACATGTTATTGGACGGTGTGCAGATGTCAGGGTCAGGGTTAAGGTCAACGTAGCTCATCTAATAACATTGCAATTTAGGCTTGCTGAATTTACTTTTCATGAAGTTTCTCGACTGAGTTTTCGGTAAAAACTTCTCAGATCATGATCTCATGTAAATGGGACACACAAACCAATCGGTGCACACATCAGTATACACACAGACACACACAGACATACAAACAAATATCGTTGACCATGACCTAGCTTGACCAGAAATGACCACAGCCGGTAAAAACCTAGTCGGATAGTGTGATAAAGAGCTGTTCTACTGGCCTGGCACCACAAAGGGCAGCGCAATCAGTATATGATGGGCACCGCACGTGATATTCCAACGGTGGCCCCAAACAGCAATATTTTCTAGTTTGACCTGACCTGGAAGCTCAATGATCGACCTAATGAGGTGAAATTGGGTACCATTGGATTCGTCTCTTCCCAACGAATCTGTTGGTTTTTGCCGCGAAGCTTTATCTCCAAGAGGAACGAAATGGCGCGGGGGGGGGGGTGGCAACCACCCCCCTTAAATAGTACCTAATAAATATATATTTTTATAGAACCTATCTTTCATAGGAATATGTCGGTTGCATTAAAATGGCGCTTTTACCTTGAAAGATGCCTCTTTATAATTCATCACTATCATTTTAACGGAAAACTATTTATCTTATAGTTATATATTTTTATATATCTTTGTCACAAGCACTACATAATATGATATAAGTATATTCAACATCTGGGTCAGCTTTGTTACTTATCTCCGCGACATTGTCTCAATACCAATGTGCAGGCAAGGACGTTGGCGTGAGAATGGAAAAGAACGCCAACGATAGCGCCGCGATTTTGCTGCGTCACAGCCATGAAAAATGGTATATATAGTGGAGTGAACTTCATTGCAGCATCTGACTGTTCAGTGTTCAGGTGAGAGCTTATGTGTTGTTTGTACTTTAGCCGTTTTCACGATGGGCTATCCGGCGAGTGCACCTGATGACCAAATCTGCTATCTTCATTTTATGAATTTATTTCAGTGTTTTAATCGATGATGCTCTCTGATATGACAAAGCAGGCATATAAGCAATTAGTGCAACCCTAGTTGATAGCTGCTAAGAGACACACTGAACCTGATTTGACCAAAGCTGCACCTAATCTGTACCAGATGTGCACCAAATGTGTACCAGATGGCCGTCGTGAAAACGGCTATTAGTTACTGTAAGCTTGGACTATTAAACTACTGGTGCAAACAAATTGACCACGGCCAAAAATGTTAGGTACACCAGTTTGCATCTAGCTACCATTTCAGGATAGCCTCGTTAACTCTATTAGTGGGAGGGGGATGATGTTAACGACGCACCATTGATATCTCAAAATCTACGGCTGAATCTAAAAATTCAAACAGCATTCGATTTCACTCGAGGTGATCTACATTAAAAAGAAAAAAATCAAAAAAGTAGATTATCCGAAATCCCCATCTGCCCCAGTACCTATAGGTACTGGGGTAAATTATCCGAAAAAAGTAAATTATCCGAAATCCCCATCTGCCCCAGGGGATTTCGGATAATTTACTGTTTTGAATTTACGGGGTAAAAACTGCATATTGCAGACACTTTTTTGACTGCTTACCATGGCCATGTTTTTTAACCTATTTTAAGTATTTTGAAGCCCATCGGAACAGAATGAATCAGAAATCAACATACATTATAAACATTATAAAGTATTAAAAAAATCATAGGCGGATACAGTTAAATGAATTCGGGGTACACAAAATATAAAATATATCTTTTTTTTGTTAGTGCTATCACAAAAACGGATTGGTAGAGGTCATGTTATATAACATTTACGTGTGAAATCGACCTCCCTTTATTTTTCCTGGAGCCGCCTATGATCCACCTTTTACTCACTGGTGAACATGAAATAACTACAAAACATGTTCATTTCAAACGTCATTTCTTTTGCTACTTTCACATAACGAATGTCATGATCCAAGAAGCAAACAATCGATGTGTAATTACTTTCCAATATTCAGTACTGGACGCTCTTATTACTTTCGGAAGCATATGACATGTGAGTGTTGACGAGCACATCATATAAATAATGAATTCATTCGCTCCATGACGATCTAAATACCACCAAATCGCTCATCAAATGGTACAGTGCATATCAACATGAATCGCCCCTGTTTGGATACCTGCATCCGCAATTTGACAAAATCTGCACCTTATCTGTACCAGATGTGTATCAAATGTGTACCAGATGGCCGTCGTGAAAGCGGCTAGTATGTAATGCATTATTATATCCTCGAGCTATAATGCATTATTATAGCTTGCTGTATTATACCATGTCTTCTTGTATTACACCCTGAATTTTGAAAAAAAAAATCAAAGTAAAGCTACTTTTTGAATTTATTTACATTGTCTTACATGAGCATCCTTGATTTGAACGTAAGCCTAGCACGCTGACATGTCATGCGTTTACAGAATCATGAAGGTCCTGCTGGTTGTGCTTCTGGCCGGAGCGGCCTCCGCCTTCGTGGAGAGGCCCGAGTGGGAGGCCTTCAAGCTGAAGCATGGCAAGTCCTACGCCAACCCCATCGAGGAGTTCTACAGGATGAAGGTAGGCTTACCGATGAAATGAATGACTGGAAACAGACAAAACATCCGATTCGTGGCAGCAGTTTCATAAAACACTTTCCAGCATGAGTTGATTGTATATTGAATATTCATAGTCCAGGGTAGTAGCTGATCCGATCATCTTGTTCTTCAGGTGTACGCCGACAACAAGGTCAAGGTTGCGCAGCACATGAAGGAGTACGCCGAGGGAAAGCACACCTTCACCCTGGCCCTCAACAAGTTCGCTGACCTGACCTCGGATGAGTTCGCCCGCGGCTTCAAGGGACTGAAGATCGGCAGCACCGTGCCCCACGAGACCCACAAGGTATTGACGCATTACATATTACACCAAAACAATTACTGGAATTTTCAGCTATTCCCTATGATACCTAGCACTTTGGTTGGTATCTTTTGTTAAGCAATATCATTGACGGCACTTGTTCCCTCAGGTGTCTGGCAAGGTGAACGCGGCTGAGGTGGACTGGCGCGGCTCTGGTGTGGTGACCGGCGTCAAGGACCAGGGCCAGTGCGGCTCGTGCTGGTCGTTCTCTGCCACCGGCTCGCTGGAGGGTGCCTGGGCCCTGGCCGGCAACTCGCTGGTCTCGCTCAGCGAGCAGCAGCTGGTCGACTGCTCCACCGCCTACGGCAACGCCGGCTGCAACGGCGGCTGGATGGACTCGGCCTTCCAGTAAGTCTCTGAATATGCAGCAACAGTGAACTAGATATGTCGCCATATGTCAATGGATTATAGTGATCCATGTAAGCTGTTCATAACTGGTGTTTTCCTTGAAAAGCTCTGCTTACACTATGTCTGACGTTTTCAGGTACATCCGTGACAACGGTGGCATCGAGGCCGAGGCTGCCTACCCCTACACCGCTCGCGACGGATACTGCAAGGCCAACGGAAACAACGTCGCCACCCTCCGCAGCTACGTCGACGTCCGCTCCGGCAGCGAGAGCGCCCTGCAGGACGCCGTCGCCAACGTCGGCCCCGTGGCTGTCGCCATCGACGCTTCCCACTTCTCCTTCCAGCTGTACTCCGGCGGTGTGTACAACGAGGCTCGCTGCTCCAGCAGCCGCCTGGACCACGGTGTGCTGGCCGTCGGCTACGGCACTGAGAACGGCCAGGACTACTGGCTCGTCAAGAACTCGTGGGGCGCCAGCTGGGGCATGGACGGCTACATCAAGATGACCAGGAACTCCGGCAACCAGTGCGGCATTGCCACCTCCGCCTCCTACCCCGTCGTCTAGGTGTACTTCCAATGTTTCGTGAATAAGTTGAATGCAGCGATGCTGTTTAGTTTTGTTCAGTTACGCTCCAAAGTTAACCTTCCTTTATGATTTAACATATCCCACTCATTGAAAGTGCAATAAAATTTAGAACTCAATGTACATATGTGTGCTTCATTACAATCCAAACGAATGTCTACTGAAATATGTATTGACGAGTTGAGTTCCGAGCTCTAATTGAAGGACAGATGCCAGAGCTTTTCTCCGATAGTTGTTTGAGCTGCAAGAACCTAGTCTCACCAGTAGATGCCGGATGTGAAAGCGACGAGGCAGGAATGAACTTATCAGAGACGTGGCTAGTTGCACCTGGACTAGACTGCTAACTTCTTCAAGTTGAAGAAGGTTCTTAAGCCGCCATGTCAGTTGAGTAAAAATGTTACTAAACCCTCACCAACGATAATTATTGGAATACCTAAAAGGCGGATACCCGGCGGGCATACCTAAACGAACGAATCCGTAAAGAAGCCATGGCCTGCAACTAGAGTTGCAAAGTTTCCCCCAAAGGCTGCTACCGGCACCGCCCCGCCCCACAAATTTTTTTGGGGATACCGGCATGCTACCACGCCCAAAGCAAAAACACCACCAAATTACCGGCATACTAAAAAGCCTGCATTGTTGATTCCAGTTTACCCCTACAAGAAATGCCACATTTTCCTCTTAGTGTCCAAAGTTTGAATCATATGCTAATATTTTTTTGTGCAAAGCCAAAAATACCGGCATGCTACCGGCAAGACATGCCAGATACCACAAAAAAACCTGCGGTAGTGAAAAATTACCGGCATGCCGGTAATGCGGTAGGGAAACTTTGCAACTCTACCTGCAACAAATTCTTATGTAGCAGGGAATCACTAAGAAGTGATGGTCGGCACTCGGCATGTAAGGAACGTAGCTAATGGGGCTTAGCTATGCTAACAGCCGAAATACAGTCCTACGGAAAAACGCAAAAAAAATGACCGATCATAGCAAGATCATAGGACATCTTCCATTTAGCTGTCACATCCTTCAAGTTCAATGCCTATGAAAGGATCCATCCAACAACTATCCAAGGATAATTAGCGGAATCCACCAGCTCTGTTTTCGAGACCAAACCAAGGCCATATATAGGCGGACCAAACAACTCTTCAAACCCTATATACGGCGGACGGCCTTGCTCCGGTCGGGTATATAATGCCTTGCTTGCTCCCAACAATAGTGTTTGATTCAATTCAGCCAAGGACATACATAGTGATTCATTCAGCTTCGAGCTTCCTGCCCTTCTTGCATTCACCTTCACAAACCACTAAATTAAGCCAGCGCACGTGCCTTAGTCACGTTAGGAACCAACAGCCGGGCAATGCAGAGTCGATACCCAATCAGCACTCTGCATCGTCATTGCGTCACTGGCCGTCGTCCGACAGATTGAGAAGATATGGGTTGCACGGCTCTAGTCACCACAATAAATCCTTATTATGCGCCGATTTTCTGGATATTTGTATTTATATACATACACTTTGGATATTTGGTATTTTATTTGGTGAAACACTTCACGAATTTGGTGCAGTTACTTTCGCCCAATTTAAAAAGCAGCAGCGACCACAAGACCCGGGAGGTTGAGACGTGAGTCACGTTCGCGCAGGAAGTGCGTTGACCAAATGGAGCGTCTTTGGTTGAAACAAACACCGAGGCCACAGTGCGCTGGAGCGTGATATCGCCTCCCAGCGGTACGCCACGCGGCGTGCCTGCAGGTGAGTTCGGAGCGTGCCCTCCACTCAATAAGGGCAATTACGACTTGTGGTGGCAAACAATCGGCTTTACCGTTTCCGTCAGTCACGAACACTTCACAGTGCCGCGAGTGTTGTTTGCTGTGTGCCTAGCTAGGGTGAAAGCAAGGGTACTGCGCGAAGTGCGAATCATTGAAAGATGAGTGCCTTTTTCTGGTAGGGTTCGTAGGGTCTCACCCGGTTTGTAGTTGGTGATTTGTCTAGCCACCTACAAAGGTAACATCAATTTATAGAAAGAGGCAAAAACACAACAACAACAACAACAACAACAACAACAACAACAACAACAACAATAACTCATAAATGCAGTTATTTAACTTTAGCAGAAAAGATGAAGTGCCGTCAGTGATATTTAACCCGCGCCCCACTGGGAGGGGGCTATTTATAGCCTCTCCTCCCGTTTTTCTGCAATAATTTCCAAACCGCTTGACGTATTGACGCCAAACTTTCAGTACCTTCGGCTGCATCAATTTGACACCTTGTGTCAAATTTTGAACTTCGTACCTACCATAGGTCGGCCGAAAATGACGTCAAAATGACGTCATGTTCGGCCGATTTCGACGCAAAACATTGAACCACGGCAATCGCTCCCAAGAGCTACGTTTTTAAGCTAGATCCAATTTCTTTGCATGAGAGGACTCAGAATAGACTGCGCTATCAAACTGCTATCTCAGATTTTCGAAATTTGGAAAATTTCAAAAATCTTATATAATAAAACTCCAAATTTATATTTTTACATTTTTTCAATTTTTTTTTTGACTGTTCGAAAAACCGGAATATATGTGATAGAACGCATTATTATGACTAACTCTAGCAAGTTTTAGCTAAATATCTTCAAAAATGGCCAAATTATACGCATTATTGCAAAAAATTAACAATTTTTAATTTTTCATTTCAATTTTTCAGCACGAATTTGACATCGTACGCCAATATAAATAGCACCATCGTGTTCCTTAGCTCAAACTGCATCCAATAGACACCTTTTTTGTTGAAAAATTTTTACTTCAAAATTTGACCTTTTTTGACCTGAAAGTGACCTGACCTAAGCTAAATTTGACTCAAAATGACCTCAAATGACACAGACGACATCAAATTCGAAAGGTTTGGCCTAAATGGACCATAAAACATGTGTCACGTGACCAACGGATGATATAATATTTTCGTGACCTGTGATGACCTGACCTTGACCTGAAAATCAAAGTACAAGTTTGGTACCCTCAGAGTATCTAGAGCATCTGTTCACGAGTGTGTGAACCAAAAATGAGCCTGATCTGACTTGTAAGACGGCGGCCAGAGCCCAAAACGTTAAGAAGCCAAAATGCTAATAATTTTTACTTTGACCTGACCTATGACGTCATCAGTGACCTCGAGGTCAATGAAATTAGGTTTCGCTCGACAGTTTTCCGGGGCTATCAGACGCCGTTTGAATTTTGACGATCGGCCCAGTAGTTTCGGAGTTAGGAGGGCCCCCCCCCCCAGTAGGGCGTGTTATACGCAGACCCCAGTGGGGCGCGGGTTAAATTTGCCAGCAAAGACATAAATTATGAAGTGCTGGAAGGAAGACCTGCAGGAGGAATGATTGTTGCCTTATTAATTAACACTAAATATTTTAGCTAGATAACGAGAAACCAATGACAACATATGTCCGGCTCCATCCCTGACTCATCCCAAGGTCCACCAATGGCATATAGGTACTCTTCGACGCCCCGCCCCGCTGGCCTCCTGGCTCCGGTGCGGCTCGCTCTGATCAGGACCGTAGCGGTGCCAGGACCCGGTGCCTTCTGCTGATTGCGGGTGTTCGGCGCCGACCGCGACGACAGATCACCTGGCACGCGGCCCGTGGCGCGTGCACGGTAACCCACGGCGACGATCCAGGCCTGACACCCATGACGATCGAGGTCTACCTCATCACGAAAAAGAGCCGCCTCAGAGAATGCCTGACTTCTAAGGACTTAAGCGAAACGTGTTTTATGGTTATTCTTGGTTAAATCCAGAATGCGGCGTGTGACCAAGTGCACGGACTGAATATACACTGAGTGGACAGACGGGTAGCCGGCCAATTTACATTGAAAATGCAGCGCTTTACACAAACGTTAGTGTAACCTTAGAAAGTTGCATTAAATTAAGCGTGGACTGCAGAGCTCGTCCAAAGTTAATTGAGTCTGGTTACGGAGTGAGCGAAGCGAGCGGGGACTTTCGTATATTGAGTGAGTCTGGTTACGGAGCGAGCGAAGCGAGCGGAGTCTTTCGTAGATTAAAAAATTCTGAGTATGAGCGGCCGGCCGGCCGTGCGGACGCTTCTGCAAGGCTTATAGCTCAGCAACCACTTGACCGATTTACATGCGGTAATTTTTGTAGGGTAGCTTCATTCCTTCTGCAAAGTTTTGGACTATTCTCAATGCATGTGGGTGACCCCTTATGCACGTGCCACGTGCAAAACGAAGAGGTGTCAGTTTTGTAATGGTTGCAATATCTCGGTAACTACTGGGTCGATTACGCTGAAAGTTGGGATGTATGTAGGCATCCACTAGGCAATGCATATCCATGTGCCAGAGTTGGGGTGCTGCTGCACGTGCGCACGCACGTACAGGGGTCGATTCCAGATCTCGAGAACGGCTGAACCGGTTGTGCTCAAATTTGGTACACGGTTAGGGACCAGTTAGTAGAGTGCCGTGCACAAGTCAGTTGGGACCTATTTTGCACGTGCGCACGTGCAGGGTGCCGCTTGCAGATCTCGAGAACGGCTGGGCCGATTGTGCTCAAATTTGGCACATCGCTAGAGACCGGTTAGTAGGGTGCCGTGCACAAGTCAGTTGGAGGTTAACCCTCGCCGGCCGAGGGGGGGGGGCGGGTGCCGCCCCCCCATAGGGTTTTTTCGCGATAGCTCCGAACACGCTGGAGATAGAGAGCTGAAACTTGGCATACCTGACCTTTGATCCAAGCCGGATCTTTTGACACCAACCGCATTTTTGGGTCAGGTCAGGTCACTGACCTATGACGTCATAAGTGAACCTCTGCACGGTCTTCAGATGTCGCAACTTCGCAACGCCCTCACTGCCAGAGGAGATGTCACAGGGAAATGAAACTTGCAGGATCTAGTATCGATTATGAGTCCCACAACTTGTGTATCTCGGATTTTTCCTAAAGGTCATATGAGGTCAGGTCATTTTCGTGACCTCACCATTATAAGTCAATGGGGAAAAATTCAAACTGCTATTCTGGCGCCGGGAACGATCTCCAACTATCTCAAGCACACAGAATCGTGATTTGATGCACTCCTTGCAAGGTTAGATGCGTCACTTTTGCAATGTTGACCTTGCGTGACGTCATTTATGACGTCATCAAGGTCATATTAGTTTTTCGTCAATAACTCTTGATCAAATTGAGCTAGCGAGTCGGGAAAGCCACCAATGGACTCAGGAAGACCTGCCGAATCGAATGATATGCGACATGACCTCTTTCGACCAACTTCGTGACCTGGGGGTGCTGACCTGACCTTGACCTGAGGTCAACACCCCAAGTTGACCTGACCCGGACAAAAAGTATATCATTCGACGCGCCTGAGCGAGACGAACACGATGCTGCCAAAATCGGCGCTTTGCGGCCGTTTTTGCGAAGTTATTCACCAAAAACTGAACCGTACCTTGGGGCACTTGACCTGACCTCAGAGGTCACCGGTTGACCTAGGACCTTAAAATCGGGTACCAATCTCTGCGTCTCGTAACGGCGCACACGCTCGTTTTTTCTGCGACGCGCTAGCTCCACCAGGGGCGAAACGGCGAGGGGGGGTCGTACCCGCCCCCCCCCTCGGCCGGCGCGTATGTAGAAAACCAATAGGTCCGGCGAGGGTTAACCCCTCGAAATTTCGCACGTGCAAGGCTCACCCTCTCGCTCGCTCCGTTAGTCGCCCCAAAAGGAGTTTTACTGGTAAATTTTATTTTCCGCATAACGTTTTTACGGAGCGAGCGAAGTCTTTCGTAGATTAACGGATATTTCTGAGGATGAGCGGCCGGCCGGCCGGCCGTGCGAACGCTTTTGCGAGGCGTACCTATATCTCAGCAACCACTAGACCGAATTACATGCGGTAATTTTTGTAGGGCAGCTTTATTCCTTCTTTCAAGTATTAGACTATTCCCGATGCATGTTGGTGACCCTTTATGCACGCGCCACGTGCAAAACGAGGAGGTGTCAGTTTTGTAAGAATTGCAACATCTCGGTAACCACTGGGCCGATTACGCTGAAAGTTGGTATGTAGGTAGGCACCCGCTGGGCAATGCATATCCATGTGCCATGCAGTTGGGATGCTGCTACACGTGCGCACGTGCAGGGGTCGATTCTAGATCTTGAGAACGGCTAAACCGACTGCACTGAAACTCTGAAATTTGGTAAGTACATGGTTAGGGACTGGTTAGTAGGGTGCCGTGCAAAAGTCAGTTGGGACCCATTTTGCACGTGCGTACGTGCAGAGTGCCGCTTCCAGATCTCGAGAACGGCTAGGCCGATTGCTCTCAACAATGGCACGTCGCTAGAGGCTAGTTAGTAGAGTGCCGTGCACTAGGGTTGTTAAAAAAAACGAATTTTGGAAAAGTATGCCTTTTCTAAAATTCGTAAAAGTATGCCGCCAGAAAGTGCCTTGCTGGCGGAGGCGTACCGTCCTGATCGAGAACCGCGGTTGGACTTCACTGAGCACCCAAATTTGAGTAGTAGGTTGTGACCAGGAGATTAAAAGTGTGTGTGGGCGCTCAAACCAGGTCTACACCAAGGCCCTGGTCTATGTACATCGCTCCTAAGATGTGTGTCGCCACGTCGCCGTGACGTCCCACGTCGCCGTGACGTCCCACGTCGCCGTCACGTCCCACGTCGCCGTCACGTCCCACGTCGCCCCTTCCCTCCGAGTAGTCGACAAGGCTGTCTTGCATTGCAAACACATTTCATTTCAGATGCCAAATGTTTATTTCTTTTAGAAATGAAGGCCTGCTATCTGCACCAAAGTAGCTATTTTCTATATATTCGCACCGCATGCAAGTTATAAAGGAAATAAAGAATTGAAACACAGCTCGAAATTATTGAGAGTTTGTTGGAAGTCTTTTTCTCAACTCCAAGCAGCTACAATCCATCTAGACGACGGGGTAGGAGGCGGAGGTGGCAATGCCGCACTGGTTGCCGGAGTTCCTGGTCATCTTGATGTAGCCGTCCATGCCCCAGCTGGCGCCCCACGAGTTCTTGACGAGCCAGTAGTCCTGGCCGTTCTCAGTGCCGTAGCCGACGGCCAGCACACCGTGGTCCAGGCGGCTGCTGGAGCAGCGAGCCTCGTTGTACACACCGCCGGAGTACAGCTGGAAGGAGAAGTGGGAAGCGTCGATGGCGACAGCCACGGGGCCGACGTTGGCGACGGCGTCCTGCAGAGCGCTCTCGCTGCCAGAGCGGACGTCGACGTAGCTGGAGAGGGTGGCGACGTTGTTTCCAACCGCCTTGCAGTGGCCGTCGCGAGCGGTGTAGGGGTAGGCAGCCTCGGCCTCGATGCCACCGTTGTCACGGATGTACCTTAAAACGTCAGACACAGTGTAAGCAGAGCTTTTCAAGGAAAACACTAGTTATGAACAGCTTATATGGATCACTTTAATCCATTGACATATGGGCATGGCGACATATCTAGTTCACTGTTACTGCACATTCAGCGACTTACTCGAAGGCCGAGTCCATCCAGCCGCCGTTGCAGCCGGCGTTGCCGTAGGCGGTGGAGCAGTCGACCAGCTGCTGCTCGCTGAGCGAGACCAGCGAGTTGCCGGCCAGGGCCCAGGCACCCTCCAGCGAGCCGGTGGCAGAGAACGACCAGCACGAGCCGCACTGGCCCTGGTCCTTGACGTCGGTCACCACACCAGAGCCGCGCCAGTCCACCTCAGCCGCGTTCACCTTGCCAGACACCTGAAAAAAGATTATACGACATGTTTATCAGAGTTAAAGAGATGGAACGTTGCAACACTCAACAGCTACTTATCTGTTTTCGAAGGCAAAATCAATAAAAAACAAATCATTTTCGAAGAAATTCAAAATGGCACAAGTAGGTACCTACAAAGATTGGCGCTGGCGCAGTTCGCATCAATTACCTGGTGCATCTTGTGGGGAACGGTGCTGCCGATCTTCAGTCCCTTGAAGCCGCGGGCGAACTCATCCGAGGTCAGGTCGGCGAACTTGTTGAGGGCCAGGGTGAAGGTGTGCTTTCCCTCGGCGTACTCCTTCATGTGCTGCGCAACCTTGACCTTGTTGTCGGCGTACACCTGAAGAACAACGGTAAGGAGAGCGGGTCAGATGCTGTAGTTAAGTTACGATGGAATTTTAACAAGCCATAGGTGGCGGAACGGGGGGGCGGGCACTGGGGCACCGTACCCCTTTGATTTTGGCATTTTAACATTAGCCCTATGAGCGTTGAATGGAAACAGATAACAGATAACAGATAACAGATGTATTCAAAAGAAATCCATACAATATGGCTTTTCATTCTTCTACGTCAGTTACAATGCGGACACAATGAGGACACATTTACACTAAACACACAAACCCATCATACATACACCAACTGATCACAGCGCGTCAGCCGATCCCACGAGCCGCCTGACAGTACGGCGGAACCCAGGCTCGCCGGGAACAGCCTGCACACTGTTCAGTAACCTCACTCCCCGAAAACACATTCTCCTCCTTCCAGCTTCGGTACGAATGTTGGGGCATGTGATTAGCCCCGACTGTCGTGTTGCATGGGCATGCCTTTGGTCCGGAAAGAATGGGACCAAAAGTCGGCTGTGTCCCCTAGGGTGTTCCATTTTCCCCAACTTCAGCATTGGCCGACATTTCGATGTCGCCCCATAACCTTGCCATATATCCATGATGTGTGCAAAAACCCAGCTCGATTGAACAATATTTAGATGTCGCGCTCTTTTAAAACTTTTTTGCATGCTAGTTTCATGAAGAATGAAGCTAACACTCGTAGTATCTCAAAGCATTGGCTGGTAGACAAAACGCCTCAAAACGTTATTTGTAAAGCTCCGCTGCTATTAAAAACAGTCTCTCTCCTGTTTTCCCACCGACATTGGCAGCTCAGAAAGCCCGTCGCCGAATCCACGATTAAAACGAGCATTGTGTTCAAAATCATCTGGGCTGAATTCAGCCGAATGACGAAGATTAAAACATTCAACGCTATAAAAAACATGCAAGGCTTATTCATATGCTTAACCCGCGCCCCGTAGGGGGGGGGGGCCGAAAAGGCCCCCCCTGTCCTTTTCGGTCGATATCTCCTAAATGGCTGGAGATATCGCCACCAAACTTTCAGGACCCCTCCGGGCATCAATGTTACACATTGTGACCTAAAATTTTTCCAGAGGCTATGATAGGTTGGCCACAAATGACGTCAGAGTGACGTCATGTTCTGTCATTTTCGACCGAAAAAAGACCTTCGCGAGTAGACCTGTCAGGACTACAGCTTTGAAGATACAGAAAAATGATCAAGACATAACAGGTGTAGAATTGACAGGGCTACAAAACTGCTATCTCGAATTTTTGAATTTTTTGAGTTTTGACCCCCCAAAATCAAAAAAGCATTTTTTTGGATATATTCGCCAAAAAATCCAGAAAGTTTTTTGAGTTTCGAAAAAACCGGAATATATGTGATAGTGCCTACCGTCTTCTATCTACATAACAAATTTCAGATCGATACCTCGTTTTTTGGCCAAGTTATAGCGAAAAACTGTTCAAAAATGATGACGTCAAATTTTCAAACTCAATTTTTGGCAATTCTAGAACTCGTAGAGCAAAACGAAGACCACCATTAGACTCCCCGTGACGAGCTGCATCGAATCGATACCCATTTTATGCAAAAATATCAACTTTGAAATTTGACCTAATTTGACCTGACCTTGACCTGACCTTCACCAAAACGTGACCTAGGCTGGCCCCAAAGGCTGCCTAACCCACATAATCGCATTTGTCATGTAAAATGGACCATAAAACATGTATCACACGACACATTCATATTGTGACCCCCGGTGACCTGACCTCGCTGTTACCTGACCTGGTATCAGTGACCTCAGATAGCAAAGTATGTGTTTGACGAACAATGTACCATCGATGGTTTTCAATAAATTACCAATTTACTCGCTTTCACAGCACATTTCTTGAATTGCCTGTGAACGGTGAAAATCTGACCTTTGACCTGACCTGTGACGTCATCGGTTTGACCTAGGTCAATGAAATTTGGTCACAAGGTAGTTCCCAGGTGGGGCTATCGAACGCCGTTTGAATTTTGAAAATCGGCCGGTAACTTTCCGAGATCTTAGGGGGGGGGGGGGCCGAAACGCCCCCCCCCCCCTACGGGTGGTAGGGTCCGCCGGTAGCCCTACGGGGCGCGGGTTAAGAGAACATTAAGCAGGCGGGAAGGGTAGACTTGAGGCAAGCAATTGAGAAAGATGGCGTGCAAGCCCAAAGGCTTATTAACACTTTGAGTGCTGACTGCTGGTGCTTTTGATGGAATTTTAAATGACTGTTTTTCCTTTCTTACAGGTAAAATGTCGGTAACAAGAAAGTTAGCACAGTTGTGGTTGATCGAGAGAACTCCGCAACCAGATATTCTTGGTGCTCGCTTGCCCTCCCGTGAACAAGTATTGCTTTTTTTCTTGTACCAGCGTCAGGTACTCAAGAAGTCAGTCCCTGATTCCGTGTTGGCAACGAGTGAAAAGCTCAAGAGCATCTGGGACAAGGCGAGGTTGACAACGAAAACCGATGTGAACATTAGGAGGAACGTCAAAAAACTGTTTGAAGAATACAATGCCCTGAAAAAAGATCGGAAGAAGACAACTGAAGGTGCCGTGCTGAAGCAAAAGATTTGGAAGGGCGACTTGGTGGACCTTTTCGACATCTCCAGCGCGGACGTTCTGGAAAGGAGGGATGTCTTGGACGAGGACAAACGCTTCCTTCTTTTGCAGAGAGAAGATCGTACCAGTTCGTCCATGGCCGGCGTCGATACCATCGAACTGGCGAAAGAAAAGAGGAAAAAAGAAGCCGCTGAGAAGTTGGAAAACCGCAAGCGGAAGCAGAAAGCTGAAATGGATCGCCTCCAGGAGAAGGTAGCCCCTCCGCAGTATGGCATGACGTCATCTTCTTCATCGTCGGAAGATGAGGGTGGCGACTTCAGGGCACCGAAGAAAAAATCTCCTCGGCAAGCGCCCATGCAAAAGCCGTCTCTGAATCCCGAACTAACGTCCGTCTGGGATCGAGAAGGGCTATCTGTGCGTCAGGCCTCAAGCTCTTATATTGCGACAGCGAAGAACTTGGGCCACGATGTCAATCAGTTTGCCATTTCGCCGACCACCGTCCATCGTTCTAGGGCTAGAAACAGGGAAATGCTTGCGAATCAGCTGGAAAGGGAGGCTTTCAAGGATCCTCCCCCCATTGGTTCTTCACTGGGACGGAAAACTGCTACCGAAAGTAACGTCAAAATAGGCTTTAGAAGACCGCATTGCGGTGGTTGCTACCGGACAGAACTTCGAAGAGATCCTGGGAGTCCCTGTCGCAGAAGATGGAACGGGCCAAGAAGTGGCCAGAACGGTTTTCCAGCAGGTCGAGCGAGTCGGCGCCAGGGACCAGATCATTGGCTTTTCATTCGATACGACTGCCGCGAACAGCGGCATGCTGACAGGCGCCTGTATACACCTAGAAAACCTCCTCGGTCGCCCCGTGCTGTGGCTGGCTTGCCGCCATCACGTGCTGGAGGTTATCCTCAAGCACGTTTTCGAAAAGTGCTGCGGGCCTTCCACTGGTCCAGAGATCCCAGTCTTCAAGCGCTTCCAGGGACGCTGGGAACTTCTGGATCGTGGTTCGTACCGTACACTGAACGAAACAGAGCCAATGGAAAACGCCCTTGAGCTGCTCCGCGTGCAGATGATTGCGTTCCTGCGAAAGGTTCTCCATGACGGAAGCAACCCACGCGAGGACTACGAGGAGCTTCTCCGTCTGTGCCTCGTGTTCCTCGGAGGAAGTGAGGGACAGGTCCGGTTTCGAGCTCCTGGTGCCTATCATCAAGCTAGATGGATGGCCAAAGCCATCTACGCCGTCAAGATGACGCTCTTCATCGACCAACTTGAGCTGCCAGCTCGCGTTCAACAAGGCCTCCGTCAAGTGGCACTGTTCGTGAGCCTCTTGTACGTCAAGCACTGGCACGAGGCGCTGATTCCGGAGTACGCCCCAAAGAACGATCTGGAGCTCCTGCAGGCCCTCAACGATTATCCCGACGAGGAAGTCAGCGCACAGGCTACCAAGGCCCTAACCCGCCATCTCTGGTACCTTTCAGAAGACCTCATCGCGTTGGCTTTCTTCGACGACAGAGTCGAGGATGAGGAGAAGAAGCGGATGCTGGAGAACCTGGTGAAGCCTGCGTCCAAGAAGGCGCTGAAGCGGCTCGATGGGAAAGGACTGCGTGTGGATAACACCACTACCCTGAGCAACTTCGTCACTAGTCGCAGCAAACGGTTGCTCGAGCTGCTGGCGGATCGGGAAGATCATCCCCAGAACCTGATCAAGGACGAGGCACTGAAGAACCGCATCAGGGCCCTGAAGGTGGTGAATGACAGCGCCGAGCGCGGGATCGCCCTCATCAAACAGTTCGCTGGCGCTGTTAAGGATGAGGAACAGCGCCAGTACCTCCTTCGCGTCGTCCAGCTTCACCGCAGCCAGGTTCCCAAGCGCACCAAGGCCGCCTGCTCGGCCTTCTCACTCTAGAGTGCTATGGCGGTCATGAGCGCGACATCTAAATATCTTCCGATTTTGTTCAACGAGGTGTCAATCGCTTTCATTTGAAGTAAGAATACAGGGCAAAATCGAAATGACGATGTGTTTTGATTTCGAATTTTTCCATAATAATATGGAACACCCTAGTGTCCCCTTATTTGAAGGTGTTACGCCGCCACTGGAACAAGTGTGGGTCATGCTGGAAGTGCTTAATGAATATGATCGCCATAAGCCACACTATGCCATATTCATTACAAGCTTGTCTCTGCTAGTTTACCTTCATCCTGTAGAACTCCTCGATGGGGTTGGCGTAGGACTTGCCATGCTTCAGCTTGAAGGCCTCCCACTCGGGCCTCTCCACGAAGGCGGAGGCCGCTCCGGCCAGAAGCACAACCAGCAGGACCTTCATGATGCTGTGGAAGTGACAATACCAGAATCGTTGTTGGCAGCTGCCGGAAATAACGCCATGTGAAGCATTGCAAAACATTTATTTAGGCTTATCTATAAATTCTGAAAGCAATCGGCACTTATGTACTTTGTAGATACTTTGTATTGAATTGATATAGAAGCCTAGACAGCAGAGTTGATATTTTTACATGGAAGACCATGACATTTTTTTCGAACTACTCCGCCATATATTAGGCATCTATTTGACATCTTAATTTGTATATAATGTAAGATAAAAACAACAAAACCATCCAACATCATATTTATCTTACATTATTTACGAATTAACTTGTCCAATTCAAACAATCACCATGAAATCTCTTTGGCATGTTCTAAATAATTTGAAAATGCAAACAGAAAACTTATGACATATTTTTCACACCATAAAAATCAAATAATAATGTCCGAATGGATGATTGCGGTGGTAGGATGCTTCTGAAAAAGTAACGAAGCTTTGCCTGAACTACAATAAAGCTTCCGAGTAAAGTGCTATTGCCACAACTAGAAAGAAGTGCAGCATTTACCTCCTATCCATAAAATAGTTACATGATCCATGTCTTACCTTTGAGCTGTGCGAAACAGATGCCGCGCCTTGATATCACCGCTCCTTATATACCTATCTGCGGGCGGCGTTCGTCAACAATGGAGATGACTTGGCTACTTAGAATAATCTTATCACGCACCAATGTTTCATTTCTCACAGTAGTGTACTTTTGTCGGCCGCATGCTAAGGTCGGAAAGATATGTTGATTGTGAAGCCACCATATGGCATATTGCTATATGCGCTGATAAGCTTACACAGGCCATGAGTACCGCGTGAAATAACGTACTGTGTCTTTTGTCAAGTAATTGAAGTGAAACAAATTGTAAATTGAAAGTCAAAGGAATCATTGCTATTGATCCAAACGCATGTATTGATTTGTCTCAGCCTGGACTAAAGGTAAATTTAAGTCGCCGTTTGGAGGACATTGTTAAGATCCCTGTATGAGCTAGGTCATGTGTGACGCTAAATAAGCAGTTTCCGTGTTTCCACAATGAGAATGGGGTAGGGACCTTAACCCTATTAGTGGCAGGCTCCTGGCTACCCCTATTAGTGGCAGGGGGGGCTGTTTACGACCCCCCCTTGATATCTCGAGATCTAACGGGTCGATTTTCAAAATTCAAACGGCATTCGATTTCGCTCAACGTGATCTACATTTCTAAAAAATAAAAATTAAAAAATGTCAATAGGGGGGGGGTAGAGGGGGGTAAAAACGGGCAAATTGCAGATACATTTCAGACTGTTTCTCACGGCCAGGTTTCTGAACCAATCTTAACGCAACTTTTGCCGATCGATAGAGAATGAACCAGGAATTCACATGGATCCTAAAAATATGCATTTTCAAAAATCATAGGCGGATACAGATCATTGAGATTGGGGGTACACAAAAAGTATAGTAAATAAGGTTTTTGTTGGTACTGTTTCTAAAAAGGGTGGTAATGGTCTTGTTATGTTACAATTTTCTTATGAGATAACGACTACAATTGTATTGGTCATGCATAGGCGGTGTCAGGGCACCTATGTTGGGAGGTAAAACATAACCCCCCTTTTTGGACGCCTGGATCCGCCTATTATAGCAAAAACGTGTCAAAAGAGGATGCACAATAACTGTATATGTTATCACATGATACCTTTCATTCACTGTTCGTAAAACTGGTGCAGCGTCGTGATCTTCGCCCAAATGACTCGCTTCACGAATAGGACCCCCCAATTCTCAGTGCTCTGGAGCCGCCCCTGGTAAAGTTATGAACTTGAAATTTTCAGGGAATGTGCCCAATTTAGTTTTAGGAAAAGTCAGAAAATTTCAGCATCGTAGCTTCAGTGGTTTCGGAGATATTCTTGAAAAACCTGAGGGGTGGATAAAAACAACCCCCCCTGCCACTAATAGGGTTAAAAAAGGGTGCCGATATCTTGTGACCAAAAATGCTTTGTATTTTTTCGCTGCTTGATTTTAAGCAGAAATGCATTAACGTGCTTAGTTAATTCAAAAAATTAATGTACAAATTAATTCATGTACGAAAATAGGATGAGGGGTGACGTCACTTGGTAAGAAACTGTCAGAGAAGTTTACGCATTTCAAAACTAGGGTTCTAACCAATTGTAATTGGTATCCTACTGCCATGTGATTGGCTTAAACTCATGTGGACCTTATAAAAATCCGAGAATGGGCAAGTCGTAAAAGCTCGGGATATTCCCATGCGAAAGACTTTCTGGCGCTGAGGACTTTGCAAAAATTGTCACAATTTTTGGATCATGCAGAGGTTCATTGCATGATCTGCGTGACATGACTTGAAAATGCGGCCAGTGTCTCAGTATCAGTAGCTTAAAGTGACCATCCCAGCTTAACATTAGTTTTGAGTTGAGATAGCCAAAATGGGGTCCCTGGCTTGCACGTACCGGTTTGAGCACTCACAACATCGAGATGTGCCTCTACTAGAAAATATCTAATTTCAAAGTTGCAGCACTTTGAATTCAGAGGGGCTAATGCATTAGAATGCCCCTGCTGAATGTGTGACGTCAGCGCAGATCTAACGATTTTAAATATTTTACTAAAACGTTTGGTAGAACGCGGTGGTATATGCTGCTTTGCGCGCAGCAAGTGCCACACTTTCAGCTGCCAAGCTATTACTTCCAAATAAAGTCGCTAGAAACAGCGGAGATCCCAAAAGTAAACAAAAGTAAGAGTCTAATAGGTATCTTGAAAACCGTTGAATATTTTTCGGTGAAATTTGGTAGATACTCATTTTCGCTCTCTCTGACCCGAGCGACATCACTTTCATGCATATTCAACTTTTTTTAAGGTGGGAGGGTTCCTTCAAATCAAAGTTCAGGTACACTAAGTGTCAGTTTTCTATCACTGGTGCGTTCCAAGAAGCGGGAAAAATCGTCAGCAGGGACCTCCTTTGCCGGGAGGTTTTTAACATGGAACCTTTGATTTTATCTGCTTGTCGAGTCCTGCTACTTGATCTATGATCTCGCGGAGCTTTCTGTTTAGTTGTTGGCGTTTCAGACTCCGGTAGTATGTATGAACAGCGTTTTGTCCAGGTAATTTAGTGCGCTGGCTAGCCGCAGCTGTCGGTACCCATCCATTCATTCCCCAGCATCGCCTGACGGGAGCAGAACATTTGTCGACGTTATTAAAACCCTCTCCTGTGTTCCGGCACTTTAATAATGCACTCACATTCATGCCGTGTCTGTGGCCAATGCAGACATTAATCGCTATGAAATACGAGTTGCATCGTCATTACCGCCGTTGCACACATTGTGGTGTGTGCAGAAGTGGCGCCGGACAGTGGTGGGCCGGTCGGTGCCTCAGTTAGCTAATACGTTCACTGTCCGAAATGGCCCGCACGTCTCATAGAACAGCGTGTAGAAGCTCCGTGCACACAATACAAATCAATGGTGTCACGCCCGCTTCCCAAGTCAATGATAGCATCGAGCCGTGCCGGCCATTGAGCGTCGTGCTCCTCCCGTCGCAAAGCAGCCATTATATCGGCTATTCAGACGGGGTCGATTGCAGCGGGCCCGGCCGGTGTGCCCCGTGGGCCCTGAGAACGGTCCGGTGCGTGCCGAACGCGCCGCCGGCCCCAGGGAAATCAACACCTGGCGCACCGCTCCCCGGCACGTGCACGCGCGCGCCGCTTCAGCACTCACTGCACGTGCACGTGCGCGCCGCTTCAGCACTCACTGCACGTGCACGCGCGCGCTGCTTGCGGTTTCAGCAAACACTGCACGTGGCGCGAGACGGTGTCAACTGGTGCCACAGCTACCTCCAGTGGCTTTTAAAACGGGCTGGACGCTTTCCAAGCTCAAAACGAAATATTCATTTTTATGTTTACTGCAAGTTCCCATGAATATCTAGTCCCGCTGCTCAGCGGCTGGCATTCCTTGCGGCCTGATATCATTTATATGCGGCTTAAAATAAGCACAAACCGCGATCAAAACTAGGTATTTGAAATTGGTTACGTTGACTGCGATGGTCTCTTCCAGCCTGCATTGGCATTGACATTTAGTGAATTTAGGGAATAAAAAAATAAGACTATTTTAGGTGACTGCTCTCTATTTATTCGTTTTCTGATATTTTCATTTGTTTCCTCATAGCGTTGTATGCCCTCTTTGCCTCAACGTTGCTGCTCAACCATTTCACGCTGCTAAGTTACTTATTCACCCTAGCACAGTTCTTGTGGTATATTGCCGAACTACAAAGTAGTGCCTAGAGTGGCGCCGCGAAGGGTGTGTCCCAGCGGCCATTTCCGCCGCTCCTTGCCGCCGGAGTGGGCCCGAAGTGCGCCCTGAGTAGGCCGTGTCGCGGCCGGCCGGTGTCAAACTCGGACAGTTTTCCGGTCGGTATCCGTCCGACAGTGCCGGCCCGGGTCGCGGTGACGCCCACTGCGGCGCCGCTCGTCCCAGGGGCGCCTCTGGTCGCCGCCCGGGCCACTCCGCGCCGCCCCGCCGCCGCCGCCTTTATGGAGAATTCAGGGGTCCGGCCGGCGGTAGGCAGCGACCGTCGCGAGGTCAGCCGCCGGTCCAGGCTGAGCGACGTCAGTGTGGTGGCGGACAGCCGTGTGAAACATTCATCGCCGAACTAGCGTTAGATGCTAATATTCTCACTTTTGACATATACATTTAAAATCTGTCATTTATCACTAGCTGGCAACCCAGTTATTCCGAACGTGACGCATGAAAACACGTAGTTGGGCATCGTAATCTCACCTTTTCTAGCTAACAAAGCTCTATCTTTAAAGACTACTGCAAGTGAATACCAAAGCTCCCCCAATCACTGCCCGCCTACATGGCTGGTAGACCCCGATGGTGGCTGGTCTCAGGGGTCGGAGCGCTCTCCCCCACCCAACCATCCATCGGAGCGTGTTTCTTATTCACGTCTCAAACACACGCTCTCGATCAAACTCCCAAGAGAATGGGGCTGGCGAGGGGTGAGCCGCGCTCAGTGAGGCCACTTTTACCGTGGTGTGGGTCGGCGGATCGGCCTGTATCCCACGCGCCGTGCCCCTCATCTGCACGCTCCATCGCCCCCCGGCCGGCCGACCGCCGCGCCAGGAGTGCAGGCGCTTTTTTCCGACAAACAGTACGGCGCGGCGGGGGCGCGGCAGACGCCGACTGGGACGGGAAATGGTCCCGGAAAATGTATGGCCCACTGCGCCGTATGCGGGTCTGCCCCCGCGTAATGGATGGCCTCTTGGTGCTTACAGTGTTTTCGATTAAATTCACTATTACGCCAATTATTTGATGGCATGCATATTCCTGGAGTGTTTTCAGCCACCTATCCTCACTAAATGTGCACACAATGAATATATAACAAGAGCTGGAAATGCTTCTTGTTGTTATACTTTTGCCCTTTCGGTAGTCTTCGCACGTATAGCAGAGTTAGATAAATAGGGGCTTTACGTCACGGCTGATCCGGGCCTGTGAGGATCCATTACGGTGTTCAAGCTATCGGCGCCTGGGAACATATACTCATACTGAAAAACAAAACAAATGAAAATGCCCGTTCGTCCATAGGCACCATATTACCACATGCATGACACCCAACGCACGCATTTTATTCATCTATTTATTTATTTATTCACTTATGATTTTGACAATTTCTTCTAAAACTGACGATAACTTTAAGTCAGCGGCCGTTGGAGCTGTCTAATCGTCTCTCTCTCTCTCTCTCTCTCTCTCTCTCTCTCTCTCTCTCTCTCTCTCTCTCTCTCTCTCTCTCTCTCTCTCTCTCTCTCTCTCTCTCTCTCTCTCTCTCTCTCCCCTCGGACTCAGCGAACCTCTCTGACGTAAGCGCTCCTGAGTAGCCAGCTCTCAGTCAGGTTCGTCACGGTAAGGCTCGGTTAGGGCCGCCCGCACATTAGTGGCCACCTCGTGTGTCATTTTTGAGTGACGCTGCGTCACTGCACTGCGTCACTCAGTGACGACGGGAGGGGACTGTGAGTGACGACACGAGGGGACCGTTCGGCGGAGGGACCGCCGTCCCCAGGGCACCGCCCGCTCACTGAGTAGTCGGCTGGAGCTTAATTGAGTTGTGCGCGAACCCGGTCGCCCCGTCCCGGCTGTGACGTTCCGACGGCCGCACGGCGGAGGGAGAGGGACAAAAGAGAGCTCCGCCGCCGCCGCCGCCGCCGGTCCCATGAATATTGGAGGCGCCGAGAGCCGAGAGCCGCTGGTGATTGGCTGCTGGCTGCCGCTACTGGTGCTGGCACCGGTCGGAGGGGGGGGGGGGGGCGACCCCGCGAGTCTCCCCGTGGAGACGTCAAGGGCACCGTCCCCTTCCATGTATGTTCTAAAATGGCTTGGCATCTTTAGACGAGGCGCATTACCTGGCAGCTAAATTCATCAGCCCTATAAACATGTTTTTTTTCTAATTGGACATGTTCTCTATTGTCTCGTCATTATAGGTTGTTATTATCTGAAACGACTTGGGAGTTTGCTTTGAACTGATGTCGAAATACGTGTTTTACGTGCAATATCAATTCACCATACTTCATACTGAGTTTATCATACTGAAACAGGCAGTACATAGGTATTGACATCTTATCAAGGACGGGCGTCAATGACCTTATAAAGTCGACAAGGTGCCAATAAATAAGCACACACCTCGTATCACTTAGGCAGGTGAAATGGCCTGTAAGCGCGTAGCGTATCGATGTGATATGAAAGCCCAGGCTCGACCCGTCGTCGTCAGCGTCCGCTCTGCCAATTTCCCACTGCTTTGGACGTATCCGATCGCTCCTTTCACGAGGCGCCCATTGGCCGCACCCCACCCTCCCCTGGCCTTCATCACGTGCCATATAAGCCGCTCTTCATCCGACACCGGCCGGCGGTGTCCATAGAACGCGCGCGGCCCGCCGCCAATAGCACCAATTAACGAGAACTGGCACTACGACGAGTATGTGGCCGAACACACTGGCGGTGGAGGGGTATGGGCGCTTACACGGACTGGACCCAGGGTGGACACGGAACGGACACGGACCGGACACGGAACGGACACGGAACGGACACGGAACGGACACGGACCGGACACGGAACGGACACGGAACGGACACGGAACGGACGTGGAATGGACACGGAACGGACACGGACCGGACACGTACTGGACATGGAATGGACACGGAACGGACGGAATGGTTACGAAACAGACACGGAACGGACACGGAATAAACGTGCATTGTCGATCAATGAAAATACGATACACCATCCTGCTCAAACGTATGTAGCTGATAATTGTGATAAATTAAAACGAAGTTCCAACAAAACATTTAGCTGCTAAAATGCTCGCCATGCCACTCGGTCCTTTCGCACCATGGAATTCTCAGGTCAGGCAGCGGACCCTGTGGCCCACTCGCTCGCCGCTCTCCTCAAATAAGACGTTCAGCCATTACTACTGAGCCCGGGTAATGAGTGAATGCCGTGCTTGGAAGCCGTCGGTGCCCGCCGCACGGTGCTATCCACCGTCGGACGAACATAAACTGCCACTGAGCGCGCCCGACCAATTTACATAGCCCGGTGGCAATGTCAAACGGTCGCCCCGAGCGAGAATGATGTGTCAGTGACTTTGCCTCAAGTACTACCTTTCAGGAGGTGGACGGTTTTCCGATGCCGTTGGCTTTCAGTGACTTCCTGCGTGGCAGATCGATGGATGGGCACGGTCCGTGGGGAGGCGCTGGTCGGCCGGGCCAGTTTGTAGGTATCCATGTAAAGTAGCTGGTGTAGCTGAACTGAGACAAAGTCAGAAAGGATGAGTAGCAGACGGGACGAGCTAAGCGCGGCTGATGAGGTGCTTGACAGCTGTTTGTGCTGAATAGTGAATAGGCATTGAAATATAGCTACTGTTGATTAGAATAGCGACGTTGATACAATTTATCCAATTAGCAATTATGATGAATTCATAAAGAAAACATCTATGCCAGTTGGACATTTGAGAGCACGGATGAATGGAATGCCATATTATGGAAGGTAAAATATATTTCTACCACTTCGCTATTGAATATTTGGTAATTGTATTATAATTCAACAAAAGATATCCTGAATTGAAGTTAGTGCTTTTGTTATCTTGACCTAACTACCGAGAAAACATCTCACTGACGCTTCATCAAAGATCAATTCTGTTCTGACGTCAACATAACTTATGTCAGCTTACAAAACTTCAGTGTTAAAACTGTCCATATAACCCGAGTTCGTGTCTGTTAGTTGCTCCCAAGTATCTCCCAATAATGCGTATATTTATTAGAAACGGTGATGATAACGATGATTAGAGAGTCGTTAGAGTCGTTATGGAACAAAACCAGAAATTGTTACCTATATACTCAAGTTACTAACTAGATTACCTGCAAACATTGATGTTCCGTGTCGCCACGGTCACATAACACATAAATGAATGTACGGATCAGCGACAGCGCGATGTTCAAATTTTCCAAACAACCCATAAAACGAAGTTTATTTACACCGAAGTATTGCAAGTGTAGACATTCGAACACCAGCCACTCTGCATTCTACGTTTCATTGCCTTCGTTCTAGAATACATCACATTGTTTACACATTTCGTGGCGTCGCCCACTGTCGCCAAGTGTCGGTTCTTATTCGCCGTCTGGCTCCATCAAGGCACTAGAGGAGCAGCCAACACACGGCGCGAGGCAGCCACTGAGCGGTGCTGTTTGCGTGTACCGGGGCGGTCGGCCTGCTCCCGAGGGTGCTGGGTGGGCCGCCGACCGACCGTCGACCGCGACACGCGCACTCGAGTACGGCCTCAGAGAGCGACAACAGCCGAGCGACACTGCAAACCGACCCCGCAAACACACACGCACAGGCCTGCTGAGTATCGAAACCAAACACCGGACCGGGCAGTCGAGCTCATTCAGTTATTGTGAGTGATACCCTGGATCATTGTGATCTGGTGGAAAGTTCAGCTCGGAAATGCAGGTGGAAAGCATTATTGGCATCCATTCGCTACTACCTTCTTGCTATAAGCTACCAGTCTGTTGCGCAAAATAGTTGATGTGAGATGTTCGCTGTATTGACCTTGACTAGTTGATGGTAGGGTGGATAGGGGCTGAAGGACCCCTGGGAGAATCGAGAGACCATGGATAGAAGAAAGGAGCCGAGACGTAACATAACAGTGGTCAGCTCGCTGTCACAGTCACGCAATATTTGCGATCACGATCAGCACGTAAGTACGATACCGAATGTTTCCTCTCCATCTGACGACCACGACGAGACAAAACACATCTACTCGCTCGTATTTCCGTTTTACAGTCACAGTATTGGTGTACGTATCATATGCATACGAGATGCATATGTAGCATTCGTATGTAAACAATAGACAATACTACACCACTACACATATTTTACATCTGTTGTCACATTTTACATCACATCAAAACATCTGAGCAGTTTCGTACGTAAGCCTGTCCGTGATCCCATCCGTGAACATTCGTACATCACATTATAGTTCATCCGAGCCATGCAATCATGCACAGTCATACACGCTACATCATATCATACAGCCAGCGTATCTTCTAACCGCGCAATTCTTAGTCTGAGTCAATGGCACCGCATCTCACAGCTACACACATCCACAAATGTTATCAGCTATATCAGCCCCAAGTCTCGCTAACGACAGCCTCAGCCATGACCACTGAGCCTGCGACTATTCCCGAGTATAGTAACGGTGCACCTGTTCCAACGTTCGAAAGGTGATCTTTTACCAGACGTCTTTCATCACACACCATCCATTCGTGGGCAGCTGCGCTCATTTGTGACCCTCTGTGCCTGCTACCCGGCGAGTCTTCACGCGCGTGTCACCCGGCCCGTCAGTTTGACACCGCTGTAGCCCGACCAGGTGTCAGTTTCACAGAGGTGCTGCGTCTGACACGCCGGCCGAGGTCCGCGATGCCACGGAGCAGCCACGTGACCCGGATATGTTGGAGTGACGTCACCATATGACGTCATCAGTGACGAAGGAATGTCTCGAGCTGAGCTCCATGAGCTGGACCTGAAACGATAAGAAATGTCGGGAATTCAGTCGCAACAACATCAGGGTATCGCATATCCCTTGCGGCTTACATAATGGAAGGACTGGATGATGCAGTCGCAAAACACTCCATATTTAATGTTACACCGATTAGCGTTAATTGAAAATGTAAACCATATCTACTAAGGGAATTGCGAGTTTCACAGTCAAAGTTCTTTGCACTATTTAATTTATAAATGTGTGGACGTCGTGAACGCCTGCAAAGGAATCAGCTTGTGAGACAGTATATCAAGCGTGTGACCAAACGGGTTTTGGACCCTGGCAGCATATCGAAGGTGGAGGGCACACAACGCATAGTAGGCATAGAAGAGGTAGAGACGTAGGTCAGGTCTCTCATCTGACAGAGGTAGCGGGCGGATGTGGTTGCCCGCCGGCTAGCAGGAATGGTGGACCAGTTTCTGGGTTATGAAAACCCCAACGGAACGCTGAATTATGTTGTTGCATGATTTCAGTTAAGTCAAATTACCGGACGTCGGCGTAAAACATTTATGTAGTGCGTAGGACCAGAAGCCATAGCGTTGTGAACGTCTGCTGCAAAAGCAGGCAATCCAACCACAGTGGTTGCTACCGGAGGGGGGTGTTACCGAGACCGTTTGGGCATGTCCGGTAGGACACCGGTCTCCCACGCCGGATCAATGGCCACCATTCTCACCATATCTCGGTATAGGTTCAACAGATGAGTGACGGCAGCAGGCGTCTCCACCGCACACCCGTCAGCGGCTCAACGGCCTCAGAGGCTGTGAACTAATGGAACCTGTCCAATAGCAAAGACTTACCGGCTCTACCCCGGGCGACGGAACGTAGCAACAGCCGACGGACTCAGCAGCGCCCAACGGAAATCCGGCACCCAAAGTTGGGACTAAGGGCCTAGGGATTTTGGCAAATGCATGCTAGAATTCGGTGCAATTGGTGCCATACTGCAGACTTCGGCTGTAGTGGACCAGGCAACATGACGCCGTCATGTCATGATTTAAACTCATTTACCGTAACAACGGTCCATTTATGAATAACTTTTGCATATTTATGTAGGAAATGGATACCCTAAGGTATAGATGTGTTACGTAATGCTGCCCTGATTCATGATTCCAAACAAATACTGGAAAACGGACATGGAATAAAAGAAAAAGAGGAAGAATACTTAGAATTACCTCAGTGCATATTGTGTATTGCTCTTACAGTGATGCCCTGAGCCTATGTGCATTGCACAGAGCTAAAAAACCTGCACAATACCAATGCTCGGTCAATACCTACTAGCTAACCTCCAAGTCACCCTCCCCAGTTTAGCCAAAAATAGGTTCATTGGGACGCAGTTACCTAACTGAGCCGATATTATCAATATCTCTCCCCTGCAATGACTAAGGCGGACGCGATGTGCTGCCGTTGCTGGCAACAGTCGATTGAGATCGTTTACTGATAACGATCCACCAACAGTACGGCGACGAGCCGTTAATGACGCAGCGGGCCGGCCTGTCGAGTCGCGTCAAAGCACCGTAATACATTAGCGCCCTGCCCAGCAAGGCATGACCGGCGCCGGACTCAATAATTCAACCGCTGCCCGGTTTCGAAGGCGGCTCTGCGGTCTGTCCGCTCCCCGGAGACCCATAATGAGAGGCGGGGTTAAAGGCGATGCAATCGTTGCGTCGCTCCCGACGGACGTCGACTCGTCGTCGGCGCCGAGGTGCCGCGGTATAAATACGGCGGGACGGCGCGCGCGGCCCCAGGGGCCTCAGGGGCGCGGCGGCGCCGCCGTCTGGCAGCTCCTTTGTGCGCCGGCGGGCCGCGTTTATAGAGAGCAGTCGGCGGAAACCGGCCACCAGGCCTGCTGGGAACCGTTGCCTCGCCATACTTTTGCCGGTAAATTTGGTGACACGATAAAACTTGTAGCAGCGGGCGCCAGTGGGACCATGAAGACCGGACAGACGGTCAATTTACTGGTGCCGACGTCCCCTGGCCAACTACATCATCGGCAATGATGGCGGACGGTGCAGAACGGCGCCTCCGACGCCGGTCCGGCCCGGCTCGGCGCCTGACGGCGGGCGGTCGGGCGGTCGGTATACATAGGAAGGCTCGCGCCGCCCCTTCCGCGCTGTGGAAGTCGGGGTTCGTGGAAACGGAAACGATGGTCGGCCTCAACGCCGATCGGCGTCGTTTAGGGCGGCGACAGGGCTTTGGCCGAAGGGAAAGGCAACATATGTGTGAGCAAAAGCGAATGTGACTTCAAATTAACTTTCTGCCTACACCCAATGGTGCACGATAACAAATTATATAAGAAAGGGACGAACGAGGCTCATTACTTGCGCCGCGATCCCGTAAATTGGTTGACTGGTCGTTCACTTGCGCTGAAATCCCTGTAGGCAATCTACTCGTGTGGCTTCCTTGTGTTGCAGATCCTCGGACTCTTCTTTCTACGGATGTTACCATGGTTACCCACATGTGCTGCAGCAGGGTCACGTACCGTTTCCCGGAACCATACCAAGGTGACATAGCTGCATATTTCCTTTCCGATCATACAAATAATATTCACCAGAATTGTGTTTTATGTTGAAAAGCAGCCGACGAGGTCCTTCTGGGGGTGTTTTTGGTTACCTGTGCTGGTTCAAGCCGCGAGGTTAGATGACGAGGGCCTGCATCACCATACCATGCAGTTTTATATCTGTTCTTGTGCGGTCAGATGATGCTGGCGAGCACCATACCATGCAGCAGTTACCTACCTGTGCTGCCCGTGCTAGGGTCACATGATGTTGCCCGAAACCGCGTGGTTTTGCCTACCTTTGCCAGTGCACGGTCAGACGATGCTGGCCAGTATGACCCCCACGGTGATGAAGTAGATGTGGACGTAGAAGGTGAGCCGACCGCCGCGGCTGCCGGACCAGCTGCGAGACTCCATCGCTGACGAGGGAACAGAACGTGGCACATGTCAGCAGCATCCATACCGTGCAGCTGAGCGAAATGGAAAAACATGACCAACTGTCAACACCTAACTACATTTAGTTACTTCATAGGATATAGAGTGTATGACATACATATGGTACTACCTATACATATGGTATATGGTTACGTCTACGGGTGGCGTTAACCATTTCTACCGATATGGTGGAGCATATCGGACATCCTGTCTAAGAGGACAGGGGTCGGGGTGGTTGCACACTCACCTCTGCCGATGGTGGAGAAGTGGAACGTGTCCGAAACCCGGTTCCAGCCGTGCTTGTTCTGCGCCTGGATGCGCAGGTCGTAGGCGGTGGCCGGCGTCAGGTGACGCAGCGTCACTCGCTGCTCAAAGTGGATGTCGGCCACCGGCTGACGGCCCGTGGTGGGCACCAGCACCTCCTTCCAGCGTCCCGGGCTCTCGCCGGTCGAGTTTACCTGAGCGGGCGGAGGGAAGGTTACTGGTTAGTGTCGGCTTCATCTGCACGGACCGACCCTGAGCTGAGCCATCTCATTTTCCCGCTGATCAGGAAAATGTGATGTGAAACTGTGGTGCTGCTGCACTTATGACATCAATAACGTGGATATGCGGTCCCGTACATATTGAGTTTTCTGTTTTATTATGCTACATGAGAACAAAAAGTGACTGTTTTATGAAACTAGCTGAATTGGCTAAATGTCGGGAAATGTCCAGTGGTTGGAAGCGCTGCGCATCTCTTATCTCTTTCGTAGTCAAACGAAGTCCTATTTCTTTCAAATTTGTTTATAAAAAAAAACATACTCCAAAAGTGTGAATGACTTATAGCTATAAAGTTGAACTGTTTGCTACAAGTTTGTAGATTGAAGTAAGGTTGAGTTTTCCTACACGGTGATGATATTGAGGAGCATCATCCTACGTTTTATTTTTGCAAAGTTGTTGGAAACTTTCCGGGCCCTGCCGGGTGTTTTGAAGGCAGCGCTATCGGATTAGGTTGTCTGCTCTCTACCAGTTGTTTACCCGAGCCGGCGCGGTCTCGTTCGGGCTCTTAGCATTCTGCCGGCCAATTACTCCGGCGAGCCGGGAGGTCATCCGCAACGGGAGGAGCTATGGCAGCGCGATGGGACGAAGGCGGTGGGACCGGACAGAGACGTGGTGGGATGAAAAAGGTGGGACGGACACGGAGGTGGTGGACGGGGGCGATGGGACCATACGAGTCAGTGGGAAGAATAAGGTGGGATGGAGGCAACATGGGATGGGATGATTGCAGTAAATGGGACGGAGGTGACATGGTGGAACGGAGGCGGTGGGACGATCCTGCCGCGAATGGACGTAGATATGTTGATACACGGCACGGCGTTAAGTGATGCGTATTTTCGTCAGCAGCATTTTGTATGAGCAGCATTATACGAGTATATGCACACTCACAGCGGTGGCAAAATTGCATTTCTATTTAGGTAATTCATTCCAAATGCTACTTTTTCTTTTTCAGTTTTCCGTACCGGATGGGCAAAGGTGTCGAAAATGAAAAAGCATGAATATTCCCGCCGTGATACATGGCATGCACGTCCGCGCGCGAGCAGTTCCATCACGTCGACGCGAACAAGTCTGAATCATTTCCGGTAGCCGGGCGGGAGAGCGTCTCCCATTTGTAGTGAATCCGGGCGCATATCGTCCACCATCGCTGCAGAAATGGTGCCGTCAGCGGTGACACAGGCCGGGTCGGCGAGAAAAGACAGGATGAGCCGTACAATTTTTACGGGGTCATCTGCAGTTAACCGAGAAATGGCCGCCGGACGCCGGCTGCGAAGGGCGTCGTTGCTACGTATCAGCCTCGCTGTTGTGTCCCACTATCGTCCGGCGCCGAGTAGAACGACGTCCGTTATGGAGAACACGCAAGTACACCCGCAGATACACCCACAAATACACCCACACTTCTCATATCCACAATGCAAGTACGCATTGCTTCCAACTCCATATGAAAGCAAGCACATAAAAAGCAAGCACAATGAATATAAAAGTAAGCAAAGCCTTTCATTAATGATGTGTCTTTGAACACATCCCCGATCACATCCTTACCTTAGTTTTCCTGTACGCTATCTTGTACTCCAAGACAGGACTGAAGCTCTTGACCTTCCAGGCGAGGTCGTACGAGTCGACATCACCTCCCATCGGAGCGCTGGTGATCTCCACCTTGTCGGCCTCGCCTGAATTGGGGCGGTGGGCGGACTGGATCACTAGACGAACAGGGTTGCTCGGTGTCCGGTGACCTTATCCACCCACTGGGGCTCTCCGTAACGATAGCCTCATACTTTTCAAGAACCATACAGAGAGCTGGAATATCCGGTAATCCTAGGCTGCCTTGAGCTATTAGATTGCAAAGCCAGGATACATAATGCGATATACTTCTAACCTGTGCTGGTCTTCTACATTTAATGGTGACCTCTAACTGACTTCTGGTACTCTGGCTGTGGTACGTCTGGTACGTCTCCTTTGACCTGTGATAGTGACCTGTGCCCCCTACTTCTTGCATCTATATCTTACCTGCATGACGCCTGTGACGTCTGATTTCGACGTTGATTTCTGACTGATCTCTAACGCAGACATCTGACCGACCTCTGACATGTGACGATGACCTTTGACATGACATTGACCTGTGAATCTGACTTGTAACCTTCAAGTCTGACCTCAGACTGACCTGTGACGACGACCTCGGCTTGCGCCGTCCCCAGCTCGTTGCGGGCTGTGCACGTGTACGTGTCCAGATCCCCGGGCTGTACACTGTCGATGGTGAGCACGTGGCGCGCTCCGGGCAGCTCACTCGAGCTCGTCACACGCCGATGGTCGATAGGTGAGTTCCGCCGGCTCCAGGTCACCTGGAGGTCACGGGTCACGGGTCACAGGTCACATACGACACAGCAGTACCAGTAAGTAGTTAGTACAGTTCTGAAGGTCACAACTTCATCAGCATTCGACGGTTCGGGCGCTCACCGACCTCAGCAGTGCAGGACGACGCCTAACCTCATCAGCAATTCAAATGACCATAACCTCAGTACCAGGGGCTGCTCCTCATCGCTATTAGCACTGACGCTCTGTCCGGCAATAATAATGCAGGCTGTGGTTCGTCTACAAAAGCTCTCAGTTGCTGAAGAACGGAAAACTGTGATTTTCCACCCCCACCCCAAAAAAGGCGGCTCTGTCACTTTGGGAGGACAAGGCCATGATCGCATCTTCTGATGGCTATCGTACCTCGGTCAGACGCAACTGCCCGGCTTCCTTGCTACCTCACTCGGGAGACTGACCAGAATCTCACATACCCAGGCAAGCATCTGAGCAGCGGCTATCTCACCTCCGCCAGAGGATCGGAGAGCACGAAGCAGGCGAGCTGCACCTTGAAGCCCTCGCCAGTATGCACGCGCCGGGACTCCGGAGCGACCTCCGGCCGGTCTGAGAAGTCAGAGTATAGAAGGAAGATCAGTGGAAAAACGACCAGAGCACACCTTTGCTGGAAAATAATCTCACAGCCGTCTTCAGCTGGCGAGTAGTTCGAGTGTGTTGGACATTAAAATGCTTAAATCAAGATGAATTACCTACGTATGTGGTCACCGTGATTCTCCGCTTATTTTGGTGATGGCTTCATGCTGCGCTGAATTGCATGCGTTGTGGTGCTGCGCCTCTCTCTTATCACATATTTCTGTTTTTTTATGAAGCCCTAAGATTATGAAATCTCTCTAATGTCACTGTCAGTGAACGCATTTCCGCAAGGGATTCAAGATTTTATATGATTCAGGATGTGATGAAATGATCCCGAATGGGGTGTACAATGTTTCGGTGTTTCTGTTAGCCTTCACTTAAGAGATGTCGATGGAAGAGTAGAGAGATGGAAAAAGGCTTTCTTCGTGGCGCAACTTAAAGGCTACTTCGCGGCTCCATCCTCAAATGATGTCATATTTCTTCAATCTGATGTTCTTTACGGGTAATTCAGGGTGATGTTATTCGTTTCTGAAGTCATTTCTAAATTAAGGCTGACGTTAGCTGCATCCAGTTCTCCACCAACTGCAGTCGGAGGTTAATAATGCCGGTCGCAGAAGCGTGACCTGACCTCAGCCAGAGTACAGTGTTTGACGTAAAACAAATTGAGTCCTCCTGAACTCCATTACCATTATTACCTTATCGCTCACATAAATTGTGCACTTAGTCTGTCGAGCAATAACCGATCATATGATGACCTCAAAATATGAAGTGAATATAATATATTTCGTACTTATCAGTGCCCAATTTTTGCAGATGGGGAAAATATGACTGAGGTGAGACGCATGGCTAGTTAAAGAATAATTTATGAAAAATCGTCAGCTTTACAAAACGAGTCATGATAGTTATCCTCTAATTCTTTATAATCAACAAGACTAAGAGAAAATTTAGATTTAAGTTCGTATATTCATCATAGTCAGCTCAAACCGCCATTTGGGCTTGGCCATGAATAAAAGCATGCCCACTGTAAACATTTTATGCAATCAATATCAATGGATCAATCATGATAGCCTCCAATATTCCTAAACAGTTACTGCGATTACATTCGAGATTTATGGAAATGCTTTTATTCAAGTTAGCACATCCGACAATTGAGTCGCTTTGATTCTGCATCCTGAGCGATTCAGAAGGCTGCGCTTCTCTCCCCGGGGAGGCCCCGGCCTTTGTTTACGCTGACCTACCATCTCTGAACTCGGTGGTAGGCAATCGGCTCTGATAAAGTGCCAGATCAAATGTGGACGGGCCCACTAAACAACGGAGCGCACCGAGAGGCGGTGTATCGAGCGGGCGCTCGACGGGAGGTGGAGAGAGGCACGGTACGAGGACGGAGAGCGGGGAGGGCCATGCCGGACAAGGACAGGGACGGGATCGGAGACTGGACGGACAGTGGACAGTGGGCAAGGACATGGGCGGGATCGGAGATTGGACTGGGCAGCGGGCAAGGGCAAGGACAGGAACGGTGGCAGGACAGGGACGGACATGAATGGGATCAGAGACCCGAAAGAGACATGAGGTCATGGCAGTAGGTATGTTACCGGAGACAGGGCATAAACTGGGTTTTATGATGAAAAATATAGGGAACATCGGACATCCCTAAATTCTTTCGCGGCATATCCAGTACATACTTACCTACACACAGATAACTACAACGTGGCCTTGGCCCCTTTTCTAACAGATAGCACATGTGCCATGCAGTTTTATCTATAGGTAATCTAGATATCTCAATGCAAGCACAATTAGGCATTGCATTCTAACGAGATGATTATTATCACAATAGCTTCAGTTCATTGTTCAGTTTGAGGTCCTAAAGGACACAACAGACGGACGGACGGCTACCAGTGATCTCAGCACTCACAGAGGACCTGTAGACTGACGATCTGGGCCACCGAGTCTCCGATGCTGTTTTCGGCGACACATTCGTACAAGCCGGCGTCGGCGCGGGCCACCCGGAGCAGGGCCAGCCGCTCACCGGGAGCCAGCTCGACACCGCTGGCGCCGCCGACATCCTGCTGCGAACACAACAGGTAGCCGTGTCAGCAGGCGGAATTTGACCCGGAGTTGGGGAGCTGAGACGGTGAAGGAATCCTTCGAACGTGCCTCCAACGTTTAGGAAGAAAAACATGTTCAAAAGTTTTTATTCACATATGAAAAACTGATGTGGACCGAAACTCCACTGGGTTAGATTTGGGCTGATGTTTTGTTCTCTCTTCTTTTTTTTAATCCATTTGATCCTTCGACGGTGTAACATAGTAATTAAAATCCCACAACAAAAACATGAAAATTTGTTTGACATTTCTTTAGGGCAGAGACCAACAAATATAAGAGACGGTTGAAAGCTAATTAGCATGTTAGCAACTCTGAAATAATTTGTGAACATCTTGTCGACATTCAAGCTGTCATTAATCAGCCTGTCCTCCTGTACTCAATGCTATAGCGGAAACCCTGAAATTAAACACTCTCTGTTCTGAAAACAAAGACCTCACGTTGCCCGAGAATTTAAATTTGTAAGAAGGCATGTGCTGCTCACGCCTACCACGTGCCCAACTGGGATACACAGCTCCCCCTGCACTCCACGCGGCATCAGCGACTCACTCGCAGACCCACGCGATGAAACTCGCGGAAATGGTGTCACTTTGTCGGATCAAGCGTATGCAAGTTGCAAAAACAGGCACCGTAAAAACATCCCAACTGAGGCATCCTCCGTGAGTAAAAGACTTGGGTGTTTCATTTCATTTCTCTCTCTCTCTCTCTCTCTCTCTCTCTCTCTCTCTCTCTCTCTCTCTCTCTCTCTCTCTCTCTCTCTCTCTCTCTCTCTCTCTCTCTCTCTCTCTCTCTCTCTCTCTCTCTCTCTCTCTCTCTCTCTATCTCTCTCTCTCTCTCTCTCGCTCTCCCTCTCTCTCTCTCTCCCTCTCTCTCTCTTTCTCTCTTTCTCTCTTTCCTCTCTCTCTATCTCTCTCTCTTTCTCTCTCTCTCTCTCACTCTCTCTCTTTCTCTCTCTCTCTGTCTCTCTATCTCTCTCTCGCTCTCTCTCTCTCTCTTTCTCTTTCTCACTCTCTCTCTCTATCTCTCTCTCTCTCTCTCTCTCTCTATCTCTCTCTCGCTCTCGGTCTCTCTCTCGCTCTCGCTCTCGCTCTCTCTCTCTCTCTCTCTCTCTCTCTCTCTCTCTCTCTCTCTCTCTCTCTCTCTCTCTCTCTCTCTCTCTCTCTCTCGCTCTCTCGCTCCCGTCTGCTCAGACCGGCTCAAGTGTCTGGAAGACGCGAGTCGATATTGACGCCCGACACGAGAGTCAACAACACTCTCCTTTGTTGGGCGACCGTTTCACGCGCCAGACGAGAAGATCAAGAGAAGTCGAGGAGTCCCAAGCTGCCCCACTGTGGAGATCATATGAGACAGTACGCCGAAGACAGCCCGCGGGAAATAATACCGGGAAAGGGAACTGAGTCAAGTGTGCTGCGTTCTTTGATTTCTACAGTTCTTTTTATACCAATTAGCCTCGTATAGATGTTCTTGGAGGTCGGCCTTTGATAAGTCTTAGGCAAATGCCTACCCATCACTGTGCTAAGTTCGCTTCATCCACGCAAGGCGTGAGTGTCTGTGCCTGTTCGCCACGTTTGGCCCTCATGTGATGCCTGCGTACCCACCACCAATAAATAGTTGATGGGCGGCGGCGCGCGCGGGACCGTGCCCGGCGCCGGGCGCGGCGTCACCGCTCATTAGTGGGCTCCGTATCAATTAGCCATGCTCACTGATGAGCGCCGGCGGCTGCGATGTGGCCGATCAGCCTGTCAGCGACACGCCGCGTCATTGATTTGGACAGCAGTTCCGACCGAGTGCTCCGCCCCCGGACACCGCGGGTTTGGCACGCCCAGTCGCCCGACCGGTCATCGCGGTCTGATGCAGGACGGGACGGGAGCCGCCCCCGGGGCACCTGTATGATGACAGACTCCCCGGGCCACCTAACCGACTGATGGAAAAGGTCCACCGTCACGTGTCTACTGACAGCCGCTTCAGGCGCTTCCTGTTAGCGGAACAGCTTGCGAAAGAGGGATCACGGTTACCGTCATTGAAAGAGGGGCGCCTGTCACAGTCACCTGTGTAGTGATAGAGATGGCACTTCTTCACCCTTATGATACAGAGGCCCTAAAAGCTTGTTTCCAGGCGTCTTGTCTGAAAGATAGGCCTAATGAGCTTCATTACCAAAGTATATTATGGAAGTGTTATTCTTTTGCGCAACGTTTCAACGAAACAATAACATGGCCTTTTATATCAAAACGTATGCCTATGTATGATGAATGCGTGACAGCAATTATGGACCTGTTTTCGAGGCCCGGTAAGTGTGATCGGTTGCACCGTCACAGCGCCCACCCCGCGTCCTCACCGCACTGACCGAGCTTCCGTCGTGCTGTGCGCCGCAGGGACCTCCACCAGCCGACAAACATGTTATTAAGATGGCGTGTAACTCGGCCTATTGATTGCCCCTCGAGTGGAATGGGTCACTTCAGGATATTGTCGTCCATAATAACATTAATGTGACTCTGAACCGCACGGAAACGCACCACGCCATGGTTAGATATTGGATAATGTTTACATTATCAATCCTTTTTGGATAGGCTTTAAGTTAAAAAGTTTACAGTGGATAGCAACACAACGACAGACAAGTCATCGGGGAGGTATTTGAGCCCATTTGAGGCTTGTTGTATTACAGCGATGTCAGATATAAATTCCAGCCACAGCCATTAGAGATGTACGTTCAGTTACGTAACGAATTTACTGCGAAATACCCTAGATTGTCATGAATTGCCACGGTCAAGCCGTTTAACATTACACCCAGAACTCCCCGAAGTACCCAGCACTCAGCGACCACAGCCGGCGTGGCGGGCTCACCTTTTTCCTCCACCGGACGCGCGGTTTGGGGTTTCCCCGTGCACTGCACTCCAGTGTCGCGTTGTTACCCTCCTGAACAATCAACTGACCGGCCTCTGGTATCGTACGGATAAATGGTCCGTCTGTAATACAGGAGCGCCGAGTTGAGGCGTCAGTACAGCTTTGCGAGCAGCTCACGGGCCAATAGCGACCTGTGTAACATACTATTCGAAGCTGCTAGCGTTAGCACCAATGCACACAAATGACACAAGACGGAATGGACGATCTGAATGAGATTTCTAATACTATTAGGGGCAATTGTTTTGCTCATATTTAGCCACTCCTTTATGCTTACAGTGTACGTCATGTGTCTATGTCTGTTCAAAATCCCGATTTCTGAGCGGGGAGTGCATCATATGCACGGTGCAAGTCTGCATACTTACACTGCACGTCGAGTGTCTGCGTCTGCTCCAAATCCCGGTCACTGAGCGCAACGGCGCAGGTGTACACGCCAGCATCCGAGGGTCTCGCCTGTCTAATCTGTAGATTATAGCCGTCCAGCAGACTGAGACGACTCTGGTCCCTGAGGACCAGATTTCTCAGCGAGAGGGCCAGCTTTTGTCGCCACCAAATCACGGACATATCACCTGAGGGACGGACAGAACAGATATTACGCGCAGCACTAGAACGTAGAGGGCGTGCGTCGAGTATAAAACATCATTTTGGCGCGGAAATGTCCCCTGGTCTATAAGGGAGGCGAACATTACCTGATATAACGGAGGAACTTAAATAGAAAGCAGCGTCCACAGAAAGGAGGACAAATAGGTATACAAAAAAAAAAAATAGGCTGGAGCGCCCACAAAGGAACCCGCCAGTCGCCACCCACGGGGTCGGTGGGTACAAATGTAAGTCACAAAGCGCATGCTATGCTAGAGTCATTCATCGCCAGTCAAGGATGCTGAGCTCGGATGACACCAATGGGACTCATTGGGGATAATTATGCCTGAGGGCATTATGACATATTTTGCCAGGTAATAAGCCATACAGTATTGCCTAGCAACCCCGCAGAATTGCCTTATTGCAGTATTCCTGAGCCCGGGCCGTTAGACTCAACTCGAGCCAACCGTGAGGGAAGTCGCACGCCTCTCACGCCTTTGTCGTCGTCACGGATGACTAATTAACCTCAGCATATATTAGCGGTTTCATTAATGGCTTTTAACATCATCTACGGTACCTTCATATATGACTGTGGATATTCCTCATCAACAATGCAAAGAAAGTAACATCAATGATGCACAGTAAGCATCGTTTTGCGCGCAAAAGTAGAAACACAAAGGCCTCCCGCATACGTATACATAGATACGTATAGTCCCCCATCCCCCCAAGCGTGACACGACATATGCTGTGTATGCGGTGTTCTCAAGGTGGCCGGCCCAGTCTTACGTTCACCATATGCTGTATTCCCATTCTCGCACACGGATATTTCGTGGAGCTTTGATATCAAGCTGATTTGTGTGGGAGAAAAACGTGTGCGTTTGTGGCGGGGAGGGAGATTTTCTGGTGTGTATGTGTGCTAAATGACGTCATATTCGAGCTGAATCGTTGTAAAATTTAATTATTATAAATCTGCGTGATACTTCAAGGCTTTTCAATTATGCGCAACATGATTGCTGTACTCCAATTTTAACCCGCGCCCCGTTGGGCTCTGCCGAGCAACGCGCCCGGTTGGGGGGGGGGGCATTTGGCCCCCCTAAGATCTCGAGAACCACGCAACCTAGCGACAAGCAGCAAACGGTGTTGGATAGCCCTATCAAGGACTACCTTGTGACCCAATTTTATTGACCTAGGTCAAACCGATGACGTCACAGGTCAGGTCAAAGTTCCAATTTTCACCGTTTACAGGCATTTCAGCGTTGTAAAATCGAGTAAAATGCATTTCATTGAAAATCATTGATGGGGAAATGTTCTTCAAACACATATTTTGCTATTTGAGGTCACTGATACCAGGTCAGGTCACAGAGGTCAGGTCACGGGGGGGGGTCACAATATGAAAGTGTCGTGTGATACATGTTTTATGGTCCATTTTACATGACAAATGCGATTATGTGGGTTAGGCAGCCTTAGGGGCCAGCTTAGGTCACGTTTTATCAAGGTCAGGTCAAGATCAGGTCAAGGTCAGGTCAAAACAGGTCAAATTTCAAAGTTAATATTTTTGCATAAAATGGGTATCGAATCGATGCAGCTCGTCACGGGGAGATCAATGGTGGTTTTTGTTTTGCCGTACGTGGTCTAGAATCGCTAAAAATTGAGCTCAAAAATTTGACGTCATCATTTTTGAGCAGTTTTTTTCGCTATAACTTGGCCAAAAAAATGAGATATCGATCTGAAATTTGGTATGCATATAGAAGAGCGCAGGGACTATCACACATATTCCGTTTTTTCGAAATTCGGAAAAAAATTTGGATTTTTTTAGTTTTTCTAAAAAAATCAATTTTTTGATTTTTTTGGTCAAAAAAACCCAAAATTTAGAAAATCCGAGATAGCAGTTTTGTAGCACCGCTTTTTGTTTACTAGACCATATAAAGAACTTTGAAATTGCTTGATAACTGTAGATTTGGTGAGCGTTTCAATATTTCATGTTTTTTGCTCATTTTTGCTCGAACATGACCTCAGTTTGACCTCAATAACTCCTGACCTAAGGTGACCTAAGACTTGAAATTTGGTGTGAAGGTGTCAAATTGATGCCCGGGAAGCTTCTGAAAATTTGGCGGCGCTGCGCGCCGCCGTTTTCTTGCTATTCAGGAAAAATCACAGGGGGGGGCCAAAATGCCCCCCCCCCCCAACGGGGCGAGGGTTTACACGCTAGAGACTGGGAGGCGACATCGACAACGGGTAATATCGGACTATGTAAGTATGTACATGGCAATAGTTTTATTCTGCTGCAGCATCAATTTAGACCTATTTAGAACGGCCAGAACGGTTCAAAGTCAGACGGGATATTGCCGCAACCGCAACCGCACTCCCTCGCTCCGGTGAGGTCGGCGAAATGTCAGTGTCAATGAGTGGCCACCGTTTGACCTCATCACCACCGTACCCCGTCCCACACACGGCTGCTGACATACGCCCACGCAGTCTGGTCCGCCCTGGGTCGCCATTCCTCAGCTGTCGGGACAGGCGTACTGTGGGCGTGCTTCGGTGGACGCGTGAGAACGACGGCTACCCCTTCACCTCCGCCGAACCGGGGCGGACGAGTGCCAACGTCGGCTGGGTCGGTCCGGGGCTGGTGAGGCCATTTTTATGGTGCAACGTGAGCGTATCCTGCGGTGGTTGAGGGAGTTGTCTCCTGTACTCGATCTTCGTGAATGATATGTGTCTGCATGTACCAGGTGTCAACATTGTGCAATTTGCCGACGACACGCAGCTTCTCGTCACGGGAAAACGTGCAGACCTTGAACAACTAATAAGCACTGCTGAACAGGCTTTGTCTACCCTATACGCATGGTTTTGTGCCCACGACATGAAGGTCAACGCAGCAAAAAGTCAGCTCATCGTCTTGGGAACGCGTCAGATGCTGAAAGGCATGCCAACTATCAGTGTGAATTTCGCCGGCACGACCATCCGTGAGTCCGACTCGGTTACTAACCTGGGCATTGTCATGGATAAGCACCTATCATTTCACGACCATGTCAGTCGCCTCGTCTCTAGATCCACCGGGACATTATTAGCTTTAAACCACGCAAAACACGTTCTGCCGCCCCACGTAATCGTGCCCATTGTCACCTCGCTCGTTGTTTCCCGACTCCGCTACTGCATCGCTGTTTACGGTACCTGTGGTGCTACGGAGTTGCACCGCGTTCAGAAGATACTGAATTTTTGCGCGCGAGTTGTGAGCGGGCGGAGGAAATATGACAGAGTGTCGGATGTGTTACGCGATCTGCAGTGGCTCACTGCACCAGACATGGCCCTGTATCATCGAATGTGCTCTGTACACCGCATTGTGGAGACACAACAGCCGACTGCGATGGCAAGCAAGTTGGACAGAGCGTCCGACCAGGGTCACAACACGCGAAATGCGAACCGGTTCAGGCTGCCACGAATTCGAACAGAGGCAGGCAGGCGGCAACTTTTGTATAGCGGTGTCTCGGAGTACAACGAATTCATGCACCGTTACAATGGTCGTCCAGCATTCAAAACCGCCGTGAAACGCTACTTGCTGGGGCGTGATTCAAACTGAATGATTGATTGACTTGTATGCATGTGTGTGCTTGTGCTTGAATTGTGTGTATCTGTTTTGCTATGTCAACTCTTTTTAACGTTTGACGTTACGTTGATGAAAAGCCGCAATAGCGGATTTAACGTGAATACAATGAATCTGAATCGGAATCTATTATTCAGAGGACATGCGAATTGGATTCGTTTCGCTAGTTTTAATTTGCATTATTAATTTCGCAAACTTGACGAATACAGATATACAGCATTGAAATATACAGTACGTGAAAAACGCACGTTTTGTACTATCAGACAATTAAGAAAAACATTGCTTTTAAAATTGCTAGGAAGTTTGAAGAGGTAAATCCAGATCAATTCACAAGAAGATGTGTTTCATAAAAAAAAATCAAAAGTCACTGAGCCCAATATCCCAGACCCCGCTGACTCCATGATCAGCCTGCGAGTCACCTCCATCACATCCTGCTCATTGCGTCACCTGTTGGTGGAAGCACCCCTGACCCCAGGGAGGGGTGACGAGGGAGGGGACGTCCAACAGTCTCTACACCGCGGGCGGAGGGCCACTGCCAGCCAAGATTACTTTACTAATACTGCCAGCAACCATATCCGGCACTGGCCATCATTGAAATACTGCCGAGAACGGCCGATGAGTTTTTCGATAAAGGCAAACGACCTAACTAATATCGCATTTCCCGTAAGGTTGAAAGTCCTTATATTCTGTGAGTATTAAGTGTGTGGTAGATTATAGTTCAAGGATAAACTGCAAACAAATATAAGCAAATCAAATACAGACACCACAAATGTGGAATGAAACTGTTAGCTGTTGTCATAAATTCAATAATTGAGTGATTTACATAAAGTTTATGCCTCATTGGGCAGAAATCGAGCTCCAAGCTGCAGATGCCCAATGACCCACCCAAGTTCAACGCCCCACATGACCCTCTTCAGACTCAAAGCCTGACATGTGTGCGAGCACGTAACGTAGCAGTATGCAGTAGCACGTAGCAGTATGCGACATGTAACCGTGACACATTAAATTCCCTTATATCTATAGCACATGCACGTGACGACAGTCAGAGCGTTAGGTAAGCGTCACCATCTGCAATATTCACAGCATTGAGTTTTATCACTGCTTCATCTGCAATATTCCCAGCATTGAGTCTTATCACCGCGTTTCCGTTCACATGACGTTTCCTAAAATGCACTTGACAATGGTGAAGCGCATCGCGAACAGATTCGAACAGCCAGTGACCACTTTTTGCACATGGTAGAAGGGCACACAGTTTGCTGATTCTTGGAGCTAATGCTCCGTGAATGAGGGATTGATTGTACCAATCTTCACCGCAATGATCAAGGTACTGGAACTCGATCGAACTTAGAATGAAGCGATTGGTGATAAATCATGTATTAGTCTGCTGTTTGCATGACCTTTGACTTGTACCGCTTGGTAAAGGTTGAGAAAGCTGACACAATCAGCAAAGCCAGAGAAACTGGAAACGGACCAGACTCATATGACATACAAAACATTGCGTCTGATGATGTGTATCAAACTAGGCGGCTGAACATGAGCGGAGTACAATCTGTGAATACAGCTAGACAGACCGGGTCCGTGCAGTGTTTGGTGTTTATCAGACTCGGTGACGTGCAGAACAGCATTACCCTGCGACTGACAAACATCTGTCAGTACCTCACCACGAAAACACCGCTCGGTACAACCGGCAGGCTCCCACTAGCTTGGTGAGTTGACTTGCAATGTCTGTAGATGGTAGGTTCTGCAGTGAGAAGGTGCCAGTGCTAAGCGCATGTTACCCATGCCATTGCTAGAACTGTTAGCAATATCAGCGTGATCAATGTTGTCTGTTCGTGATGAGCGCTCCGGTTCGTAGGTCAAGGTGGAATCCCTTACTCGTGAGCACAATGTCCATGCTACTTGATATGCACATTGCACACATTGCACAAATGTACAGCAAGGCCCCGTGACTTACTGAGGTCCTGTATGGCGCAGGGCAGCACTACGGTGTCTCCTTTTTTGACCGTGTGTCCGCCGGACACGGAGACAAACCGAGGCGGGTAGGGGCCGAGCTGGTTGGGTCGCGCCGCCCGCTCCAGCGCCGGGCCTGGAACACACAGACGCACGTCACCACACATCGTGGAGCCTTGAGTATGGAGCCGAGCGAGTGTAATCCAATACTAGATTCATTTCCTTCGAATGCATATTTTCTACTTTTCATAGTTTGAATTTTAGTCACTGAATGCATTATACTGTATATACCCTTATAATTCGTTAAATAATACAACTGTGTGCATAACAATCATACAACTGAACAATGCAGTTACATTATGAAATGGATGAAGTTCATCTATTCATTTTTAGGAACACCAATTTCCATAGAAATGGCAACAATTTTGTCCGTAGCTTGCACATGCAGCATTTGCATGTGCCGACAGTCAAGAGGCCGTCAGGATACCCGTCGCTTGGACTTGCGATCCATGTCATACACACTTTAATCTAGCGAGCCGGGAGTGGTCATGCAATATTAAACGCTTTGCCGGTGCATCCACATTTCATTACGCTATTCAGCCGGACCCCTTTCTGGAACGGTACGACACAATGACATCCACTTAGATATATCGTAGATAGCAGAAGGTGGCATTCATTGAGTCACGTACAAATGTATAGCATGCATACATGTACACACAGTCGTAAATGTACGACTCGGCAGCTCTTTTTTCGTACGCTGAAATATATTCGCATTGTGTATTGTGTACGCTTGTAATATGTATGTGTGAATACATTTTACAGGCAAGACGCATCGATCACATTTTAACTCTGCAGCGGCAAACTTGGAATTAGAGTTCTGCACGGCTGCAATTTTCCACAGCCTAGCCGCCCCGCAGCCGTCGCTCCACAGCCACAGCCGCCCACAGCCGTGGCAAACTGTGGGCAGCCAGCCGTCAGCCGGCCGTGGATACTTTCAATGAAATGCAACCAAATAGTATATAATAAGTTGTTTTTAGTTGAAACATATAGCCAAAAGCACATTGCAATGGGCTATAGATTCTCAAGCTCATGCAGCATCATAGGTCAAGGTTAAGTGGTTGTGTATCTGGCTTTAGGCCAAAGGCCTGAAGCCTGATGCGCAACGCATGCCTACACAAGCCCTTGCAAGGGGTTAAGAAAGATGGGTAGGTAGGTACCTACATCAACAGAAAACATAAACAACGAACCAGAATAGAAGCACTAGCAGTGTAGACATCTAATGCCAAATCCTGAAGTATGGTTGTGGGACAGAACAACAGACCCTGATGCTTTTCGTTATCAATGTTAGGCATGGAAAATGAAACTTAAGTTGATGGACTTTCAAACAGTGATTGTCTAGTCAAAACTCTTGCTTCTTTCTTACCTTGCATATTTTCTGGGGTGTGATATGCCAGGCTTGAAGCAGCCTTCTGAGCAAGTCTCAAACTAATTTGATATGCAAGGCATTAAAACACTAGTGAGCATCCAAGAAAGAAAATTTTGATTTTTCCAAATAATGATCTTCGCTCAAATCCACAAGGACGTGCGAGGCACAATTGCCTCTTTCAATCAAAAATTTTACTTGAGTTTTAAATGACGTAAATAGCAAAGAAGTGGCAATAAATTACCTTACCTTACCTTACCTTATCGGTTATCGGGTAATAAGGCCACTAGGCCTGGTGGTCCCGCTCCAATCGAGCATGTGTGACAAGGTAAGAACGAGGCTCTTAATAAATTGTTTTGTGTCACTATAAACAGCCATAAAAATTATAATTTATAAATTTTAATGCTATAGAGTTAAAAACTTGCTCTTGAACAAAGATAAGGAATCAAATTTTTACATTTTAGAAAAAGACGTCATTTTGTTTGTAAAGTCAACAGCTCGCGTGACATATTGTGTTCAGGGTCTTCACCGTCACGTGAATTACGTGTTCAGGGTTTTCACCATTATGTGAATTAACCGTAAGTAAGGTTCATGCTCACTTATAATCTAATTCCATTGGCTTCGTTGACCAGCATTTTCTGTTAGCGGTCACTCACACACCAGTTAGAACATAAAGCGCCAGTTTTATATTATGTAATTGGACTTGCCGAAAATCCAGAAATACATCTAAGAGTTATTTTAGATAATATTTTATGAAGCCGTTACCTGCCTTTACCTGGGCGTGATTTCTTTTTCTATTACCTGAAAGAATTATTGAATGCTCGTCTTCAATAGCTGTAAGGTGCTCTCCTTGTGCTCTCCTAATGACCAGGTGAGATTGATTTGAGAGGGATGTGACAATGCAACATGTTGCATTTTCTGAAACTGTCAAGCTCTTGATGATGAAGGAACAATTGGTACCTATAATTAGTATTCTGTACCAGAGTGCAAGCTCCCCTACAGCAAATGGTAAAACCATTACATGTTTTCAAAGGCTTCACCACTTTCAATGTTGGTAGGCATCCTTTGCATGATTTTTACAGGCTAGACTGCTTATCAGAATGTAAGATTAAGGATTTAAAATTTTATTTTTGAGTACTTAAGATTGAGCCTGAAATCTCACAGCCGTGGCCACAGCCGTAGCCGTGTTCTTGGAGATATTTGCAGCCGCCCCGGCCCACAGCCGTGGGGCTGCAGCCAGCCGCGGCTGCAGCCGGCCGGTGCAGACCTCTACTTGGAATAGCCGAGGCTGCTCCGCCGTTATCTTCAGGCTGAGGCACTAGTGAGTCAACAGCTGCAGTGCCCGTCGGGCTGTTCGCCTCTAGACCGGGGAGGTAGACTGTGCCGCATGACACAAGTGTGGTGCGGCACAGCATAGTTGCCTCCTCTTTTTTTTTCAGAGCCAGTCTAGTCGTATTTTTGCTCTGTGGGCTACGTTCAGTGTTGGCACTGCGCAAGCCAATTTCAATGTGTTTTGGGAACCTCAACAAAGGCTATTACTTGTTTATTTTAAAATACAATGCATATATACGAGTAGACCTAAATGCCAAAATCGTGATGTGAAGGCGACCATGTCAACCCATGTGTCGCCGACAAACTTGTCGTTCGGAGTTCTTTTCTGGTTAGTTGTGGACTGTATTTTGTTCGGTGAGTTTGTGCGACATTCGTAGCCCGCCCGCCTGCTATGTGAGCTCCTGGGTTTTTGATATTCGGCGATTTTCAGTAGTAGATAGACGTGAAGATTTCCCGTAGAGGATTTATTAAAGTATACGCGAAGCAAGAAGCGGAAGCAGTTGTGAAGAAAACCGGTAGATGAAACACGCAGACACAGAGCACAATTCACATTCACTGTACAAATCTGAAGCACTGACACTGCCCCGCCGGGCGCGGCTGCGCGCAGGAGAGTCGGTCTGCGCGCGTGCTTCTGTACTCTGTCCCCGCTCAGCCGGGCGAGGCGTCGAGCGGGGCAGATCAGTCCGTGCGCACAGCGCGACGGTCGAAGTGAGACTCTGCCGGGGTCGTACGTGACCCACATTTTATACGCAATGCTTAAGACGTGTGCAAAACGAGTGCGAACTTGCACTGCAGCGGGGAGGTGGCTGAAGGCGCCAGCTTGGCGGCCTACGTGCCTTAAAACGACGTGTCTTTAATTTATATCTCGGTCTCGGTGGCGGCCGCGGCGCTGCTACGGCTCGGCAGCGTCGGCGGCACGCGTACCGACCGCCGGCCGCGTCTGCTCGCGGCCCCGCCCTGCACAATGCCTCACAACTCATCCTGAGTCTGGACGGGGTGACGGCGGTGCGGCGGCGGGACGGCTGCAGCGAGCGGCGGCGGCGCCGCGGTGGCACGGCGGCCGGCCGGCTATCACGGCGGCACAGCGGTAGCGCGGGTTGGTCCGAACACTTCCGTCGGTGACATCACTCCACCCCCGTGTTTGACCACAGGGAGAACACAAAATGACACGATCACCGACAAAGATGTACAAACAAGTACGATTTACACGCCTAAATCGAATAAACTACAAAGCACAAACGGCCACATGCGCGAGTTATGAAGCTCAAATTCACAAAGCAAAACAAGAATGAAGAGTGAGTGCGTCGGTAAGCACGCGCACGCAAAATACTCTTCCTTACTTTAACTGGTTCGGGGGCGTGGGCTCGACAGTCCACAGTAAGCCAGCATCATTTCTTGCTTGCGTTCGGTCGGCTAATGAGATGGCTGAGGAGGCGACGGGGCAAGTTCCAGAAGCGCCACCTTCGTGGCAGGCCGGGTATACGTACCACCTGCTGCCGTCTTGAGCTGTACGGCGCGGACTCGGCCGTCAGGCCCCGGGAACACTTGCAGCACGCGCGCCAGCGGCCAGTGACCTCGGGGCGTGTCAGACTCTGCTAGCAGCACCACGTCGCCGACTGCTAGGTTCCGTTGGTCAGCTTCCCATTTTCTCCTGTGGATCAGGGTATGGAGGTACTCCCTTTTCCATCTTCGCCAGAGATGGTCCGTCAGTGCTTGAACGTACCTCCATCTTTTTTTGGAGTGCAGATCCTGGCTGCTGAAGACTCCAGGGGGAAGACAACGGCTTCCCCTCCCCAGGAGATAATGGCTCGGCGTGAGAGCTGTCAGGTCTCTCACATCGTCTGTGACGTGTGTCAGCGGTCTACTGTTGATCATGCTCTCTATTTCGCAGAAGACAGTTGACAGCACCTCGTCTGTTGTCACCTCGCCGCCGAGCACGACCGATAGCGCTCTCTTGACTGCGCCAATCATTCTTTCCCATATGCCGCCCATGTGGCTTGCGGCTGGTGGGTTGAAACACCATTCGATCTGCTGCTGGCTCAGCTCGTCAGAGATCTTTTGCTGGTTCCACTGTGTAAGTGCCTCTCGGAGTTCACGTTCACCGCTTTTCAGGTTTGTTCCGTTGTCGGAGAAAACCTTCTTTGGACGACCTCGGCGTGCCACGAATCGTCGGAAGGCCATCAGGAAGCTGTCAGTATCCAGGCTGTTGGACACTTCCAGATGAATGGCTCGCGTAGCCAGACACGTCACCAGCAGGCCGTACCTCTTTTCTGTCTTGCGGAACCGCCTGACTGTGAGCGGTCCGAAATAGTCGATCCCCACGAAGCTGAACGGATGGGAGGTGTTGAACCGGTCAGCGGGAAGATCGGCCATTCTTGGAG